ATTCCTTTACTTTCTAATTCATTACTAGGAACTAGCAATATTTAAGTTTGGGGGTGTGATAAGCATTGAAAAGTGCGTATTTAAACCCCTTAAGCTTATGCATTCTAGTACCTTTATCTATCTTACTTTACCGTTTTAGATTGATTTCGTAATATTTCCATTTTCAGGCACTTATCCCAAAAATAAGCTAACTCAGCCAAATAAGAGCTTAATTGAAGCTATTCTGGGATTAAATAAAGAAAGGAGCAAATGAAGCCAAATGTGGGAAGCAGCAAAGTTCGATAGATCCAACTTCAAGGTTCGATCGATCGAACACTGATCGATCTCAGCACTTCAAGATAGATCCAAATCTTGACCCAAAAGCAAAAAGTCCAAAGTTTGATCGATCCAACACCACCTTTCGATCAATCGAACACTTTTGTCCTTATTCAAATGATTGATCTCATCCACAGCTATACCACCCACTAACCACTTTTATCCTTTTCCCAAAAATATCTCCCAAAATATCTCGGATTTGTCTTTTCCCAAAAAGCTCAACCAGTTGGATCAATCCAGCCTAAGTTCGATACATCTCAGCCAGTTCAATCGATCCAAGTCCAAGGTTCGATCGATCGAACTTCCTCCAGTGCGAAAAAGTTAAAAAGCCAGCTTATTCAATCCATCCTCTATCCAATCATTAGAGAATATTCTTTGCATGACCCTAGCTCATTTGGTGTGTCATTTGACCTACCTATAAAAGGAATATGATGCACTTTTTGAAGAAGGGAAACTTAGCATTTGGTAGATACAATTTTAGAGGCTATTCTTAGTGTAGAAGAAAAGAGGAGGAAGTTAGAGACACCATTGGAGTCTTCATCAACAAGGAGCAGATTTCAACCATGGAGTTAGCCCTTGAGGGTTGGATCAACATCACCATGAGTGGCTAGACATCCTCTTGGGGCTAGAGTTAGCCCCAAACATGCTTTCTATATCTTAATCTTGTGTATTATTGAGGGATTAGTGTTGTAATTAGTATTTTGACACTTTGATATATATAGATATTATTTATTCAATGATTTATGTGGTTTAATGCTTCTAATTGATCATTTCATTTTATCTATATGTCTATGTATGCTAGAATAGATGTTTATGTGCTTGTCTCTAGATTTTGTGTTATTAATGCATGTCTATGTGTATTGATGTTATAGATTTAGAGATTGTCAAAACATAGTGCTTAATGGAATGCTCTTGTGATTTTCTTGATGGTTCATAATTATTCCTTGATGGATTGTGCCTCTCCCCTAGTTTATTTTCATGCTAGTAGTGTAGATGTAGTGTAGTTGTAGTGTAGTTGTAGTGTAGTGTTAAATGGGAGGACAATCCATGTTTATTGTTTGATGATCCAAGCTTTTGAATGCAAGTAGCATATGTCTCTAACCTTGTGTTGTATTTGTATTGTGAGCTTAATAAAAGGATTAATGACTTGTTTTGATCTATTGTGCCTTTCACATGTTGTTTAGACAATATATGCTTCATTGCTTAGATATACTGTGCCTTTTACATGATGTTTAGACAATACATGCTTAACTAGTCATCCTTGCTTGTTAAATCAACCAAACACACACACACACACACACCAATATTGCAACACACCATTTGCCCTCATTAGTCACTTGTCAACGGTATAGATATGCATTGCTTGGTGGTGATCTCTAAACCCCAAGACTCTTCTCTCTCTTATTTACTCTTAATTGCATTCTTTTGTTATCACTTAGTTTAACTTAGTTGCTCTCTAATCAACCAACCAACCAATTGTTTGATCACTCGACCTACTAGTCTTAATAGCAATTCCACAACCTTGTCCGACCCCCCAATCCCTTGAGACGATCCCTACTCACCCTAACTATATTTTTAGTAAAGGTAGTAGTGGCTTCTGTAAATGTAAAACTCTTGGCCCACGCCTTAAAATTCGCACTCTCCAAACTTGATGGTGGTAATGCGACCTCCGGCCACACACCACTGTCTTTCCCTCTCTTGAAACTGGCGAGGCTTTTTATCATCCTTCTTGTTATCTTTAACAGATATCTTAATTGAGGTAGTTGAGATAGTCATGGATTCTTTAGCAGTATTCTTTGACGACTTGTCGCTCTTCTTCCTGTCTTTCTTATCTTTACGTGGTTCTATGGCCACCGGACTTTTGTCGTCATGGGATTTTATATTGATCTCCATGTCATAGGCACGCGTAGCCAATTCTCCCCAATGCATTCCTTGCATACACATCTCCACAGTAGAGATTTCTGACAATCGGTCCTTGCAATCAAGACTGAGTGCTCGCCACTGATTAATGTAGTCGATTACAGGCTCATCCTTCCATTGCTTCATGCTAGTCAATTATATCATACTTACAGTATGACGAGTGCTATAGAACCTGTTCAAGAATTCTCGTTCTATTTGGTCCCAACTATCAATTGATTCTGACTTTAGGTCGGTGTACCATTCGAACGCGCCTCCTTTAAGGGAATGGACAAACTGTTTAACTAGTAAGTCCCCGTCAGTTCTGGCATTGTTGTAAGTCTCGACAAAATGGGCAATGTGTTGCTTGGGGTTGCCTTTTCCGTCAAATTGCTGAATCTTTGAAGGTTGGTATCCTACATGCATCCTCATACTGTCGATTCTCTTTGTATAGGGTTTTGAGTACATGAGAGTGCTCTATGAGACGCCTTTGACCAGCTGCCTGTTCTGTCACCGGCATCTGGCTGGGGTCTTCCATGCGAATACCTTGTGCCGTAGAATTAGGATTCCCAGACGACATTGCTGTGGAAGATATAGGATTCCCGGATGGTGGTGGTATGGAAGTTGTAAGATTTCCAGATGGCACTACTGTGGAAATTGTAGGATTCCCAGACGGCATTGCTGTGGAAGCTGTAGGATTCCCAGACGGTATTGGTGATTCACCAAAGGTTTGAACTTCCAATTTGTTCATCAGTGTAGTGATTTGCAAGTCCTTCTCTTCAACAGTCTTTGTGAGTTTCTCAATGGCATGAGATATAGTTGCTAGTTGTTCCTCCACCTGTGGTAGTTCTAGTCATCATAGCAGCGACCACATCTGAGTATGATAGGCCTTGAAAGTCAACGTTCCTTGAAGTGATTGATTGCTCCGAAGTCTAACGTTGTGATTCTGGGGGTGAACCGACACTAGAGTGAGCATCAAAGATGGAATGAGGTGCATCTAATGGCGGAATCTCCTATGGAATAACGTCAAGGTTCTTGACATGTTGAGTTTTTACGTTTACCGGCTTTGCAGGATTGGTTTTCACCAAGTCTTGCTGATGTTTGGAAGACACGATTGCCTGGGACTTGCTACGTGTCACAGGGCCCACTGAGGTACTTCCATCACTTGATGCGTTTTTGGCCTTCGTGCCACTTTTTATGGTGGTTTTGGCATTGACCTTTGGAGCAGCGATGTTCTTTTGGGCTTTTTTGTTTGTCTGAGTCTTAGGGGGAGCCATAGAATCTAGCAGAGAAAAAACTTGATGGTAGGAGAAAGAGATGAGAGGCAAAGGATATCCTATCGGGCATGCTAAAAATTTGTACACATAAATTTTGTAGTCTGCAAATAAAAAACAAAATAGGGTGCAAAAATAATATTTTATTAATTGGAGAAAATTGGGGTATAATCTTCTGTAATAATATTATTTAAAAAGAATAAGGTCCTCTGATTGAATCTCCTTTGCCAAGGGCTGTACAAGCTTAATCTTGAATCACCGTGGAATTTGGATGAAGAATGGCACGATTTGATGTGCTTATTATTGATCACCGTTGAATTTGATGAAGAACAACATGATTTGATGTGCTTGGTGTTCTTCGTCTTTCGATTTGGATGTTGGGGGCAGAGTTTCCGTATTTCTCTCTGGAATTCTGAATTTATATACCTTCCTCCTTCCCCCAGGCCTCTATTTATAGGCTTCTTGGATTAATAGGATGATGACACGTATCATCTCTTGATAAGAATTAAGTCATAACTGGGCCGGGCCGGGCCGGTTATATTATGATAATTATTCTTAAAAAATAATTATTCTAAATATATTTTATTAGGAATAATTATCTTTTCATTTAATCATTTGGGCTGGACTAATTAAAAAATTTAAGTGGACCAAATTTTGGCCAGTTAAATAACTTAATTAAAGATTAAACCCATATTTGATGGGTCAATTTGTCAAAACAAAAGTCCATTAAAATTTTAGTGTCTACAGGTACCAAACAAACCATAATTTTAATAGAAGCAATTGTCTTGACATTCTACATGGAAAATAAAAAATTTGAAAAAAGTTCAAAAATGAAATCAAAACCCCATATTTCAGTTTTGATTGAATAATTTGTACCCTAGGAAGCATGGAAACGAAACATGAATACGACACTATATGGATATGATGATACGACAAATCTTTTAAAAAATATGCTATGGGTAAGACACTACACGAATATGACGATACGACAAATCTTTTAAAAAATATGCTATGGGTATGACACTATAAAAATTATAAATTATATTTTTATATATACAAAAAAGTTAATATTAATTTATATATATTGTTATCAGTGTAACATTTTTGGGTCAATATTATGCTTAACAAACAAAATAAGAGTTATATTGTATGGATAAATTCTGTACTAAATCGATATTAGATATATGTTAAAAAAAATATATATATATATATATAATTTAAAATTATGAATATATTTTAAAAATATGAAATATATATTCGTGAATATTTGAAAAGTACTGGTATGATGGTTCGCACTTTACAGTGTCAGTCATGGTCGTGGTATCTGTCACAATCGTAATGTAACGGATTCTAAGAAAGTCAGTCGATACAAATCGGACTTAAAAAAAAAAAAAAAAAAAAAAACGTATATAGTTCAATGTATCGTGTATCAGTACGGCTAAACCATGACTTGTATTTACGAATATCTTTGCTTGCATTAATATGATGAATAGAGCCCAAACATTTATTCTGACTTGGACCATCGTATAAGTGACCTCATTGTCACAACCCATTGTAAAAGCCCAAGGTCCGTTAGCCATTTCAACTCACCGACGGTTGTATGTTCCTCTCTGGTTTGGTTATAACTTCCATTCTCTGGCCTCTTCTAAGGTCGTTCAGTACCCGCATAACACAAACAGGGTTAGAGAGAAAGTCAGATAGAGAGAGAACATGAATCTCGGTGGCGGAGGTGGTGGTTCCGGCGACGATCTGTCGTCCTCCTCCGTCGTATCTGAGTGGAGTCATTCCTTGTCGCGGCGTTACCAGCACCTCCTTGACAAGTCGACGCCGCACGTTCTCAACCGTTGGATCGCGTTCTCCGTCGTCGCCTTCATCTACGCCGTACGCGTGTACCTCCTCGAAGGTTACTACATCATCACGTACGGACTCGGCATCTACATCCTACAGCTCTTCATCTTGTTCCTCTCCCCTCAGGTTGATCCTGAGATCCAAGAACTCGCTGACGGGCCCACCCTCCCCACCCGCGGATCCGACGAGTTTCGACCGTTCGTTCGCCGCCTTCCCGAGTTCAAGTTCTGGTGCGTTGCCCTCCTTTTAAATCCATCAATGCTAGCATCCTAGACATATATATTCGAGAATGAATGTGAAGTCAGATTAGAATTTTTTTTTTTTTTTTTGTGGGAAATAATGTGCTTTTAGATGTTTTTAGATGATAAATGGTCAAGATAATCGGTATATTGACTATGGGGCATTGCCAAATTATTGTGTTTGGATCCAATCTAAGTCTTGGGTGTATTAGCTACCAACAAATTTTCTTAATCTATGTTTAGTAGCATGCAATTGGTGTTTTATATATTGGAACTGAAGGAAAATTAGTTTAAAGTTTGAACTAATTCATCTGCAATATCAATTCCATAGCTTTGCATAAGATAGCCATGAAATATAGTTTTTGGCCATTATGCAGCATCTAGGGTCACATCTTCTGTTAAAGTTATAGGTACTTCTTTTCTAACTATCCCAGTTTCAGCTTTAACCTAAAAACAAAACACCCCACACAAATATGATTGACATTTATTGGTGGGAAATTAGAATAAAGTGCAGATTGGAAGTAGAATTTGGAAACACCTAAGCCAGGTTGTAATATTTTTTTGATTTAATGTGGCATCAATCAGTGTTATTAAAGGCCCAAGGCGCACCAAGTTGCTAGAGGTCCTTTGGAGCCTAGGCGCGAGGCGCGCGCCCGAGTGAAGTGAGGCACACAATTGAAAATTTAAATTACCATAATAACATTCATATTTCATAAGTCATATCAATATTCTAAAAATTAATATCAAATATCAAAAAGTAAATCCATCAACTATACAAGTATCCAACAACCATAAAACAGAGCACAAATTTGTTTTCTTGAAAGGCAAAGCAAAATGTGTTTTTTGAATGGCAAAACAAAGCACAAAAAGAAATGAATATGTTAACAAAACCAAAATACCCCACGCAAATATGATTGACATTTATTGGTGGGAAATTAGAATCAAGTGCAGATTGGAAGTAGAATTTGGAAACACCTAAGCCAGGTTGTAATATTTTGTAGATTTAATGTGGCATCAATGGGTATTTAATGGTCAATCAGGAAAAAGGTGAAATGGAAATTCAATATCACATTCAAATTTCACACTAGGTATTGTGAACTTGAAACTATGCTAGACGAACTATTAAGATCTTAACTTGAACTAGGACACATAAATTGCTTGAAGATAATTAGAGAAGAAGTGGTGTCACATTAATTACTTGCGGATAAAACTACGAAAGGAAATGAGAACCACATAACGTCCTATGTTACTTGGACTTCTCTATTAACCCATGGTATTAGTGATTCGGAGTTGACTTGACGTGACATTGACCCAGGTATGGGATGTGGGTTTTATGTCGGATAGTTGAGGATAAAAATGAAGAAGAAGATAGCACCTATTGGAGTTCTTCAAAAGTTAGGTTTTTTCTTTTCAAAATATATCTAGTCGTTGGAGGTTATCAATCAACAAAATTATAGCAAAAACTTGATGGAAGCTGCATTTGGTTGGAGGCTTGGAGCACAAAGATATAATGAAATGATGAATAGGGATTGCACATTCTGGAAGTTTTCAAGAGTTTTTGTTCTGGGCTCTATCAGCCTTCCAAGAGTTATCTCTGCAAATTATTTTTTATTTTCGAACAAATCCTAAATGCTTTTTCTTTTTTCTTTTTTTTGTTTCTTTTTTAATTTGTAAACTAACCTCCAATGCCAGTCTCATATAAAATGTGACCTTTGTATCTGTCAGGCCTATCTACATTGGTTCATTCTAATTAATGTAATTTCTTGACTAATCAGGTATAATTCCAAATGTTAGGTTTTTCTCCAATCTTTACTTTCTAGGACGCTGAGGAAGTAGGTTATGTATTGGGTAACTTCACGTTTATGTCTATGCAAACTTCTTGTTTTGGTGTCCCAAGGTAGTTTTAGAGTTGCGATGTCAAAGAAATTACTAATTTCTAGTTTTCCAGTTTCTTTGGTAATAAGGATTGAGATTTTCCATTTGTTTTTATGCACATATATTACTTAATGTCTTAAAAGATCTGCTTAATGGATTTTTCAGATCTAAGTTAGTTACGTTATTATGCTAGAGTCTATAGACTAACTTTCAAACCCTTAAAGTCCAAATTTTATCATAGAAAATCTACTTGCGGGTAGTTGGGGTTCTCCAACAGTGATGGAGGTATTACATATAGGATGATGGAAACTCCAGCAGATTGGATAAGGGTGAAAATCAAAGTGGCCTTATGTTGCCCTCCTAATGGTACTTTGAAATATGTTATAGTCAAATAATGTTCAGTGTGTTCAAATGTCTTTTTTGAAAATTTAGGAGTCACGGCTATTTGTACAAGGATACGGGCGTGGAGGGCAATAAGTGCATATGTTGGAGTGATGTCCAAATGGATTGTCACGTCATAGGAAAATTTTGTATATTTTTCGGAGGCCACGTGGTGTTTCTCTATGTAAGGTGAGCTAGTGTATAAAATTTGAAGGATTAACACCTGGCGAATCCTTATTTTCAATCTTCAAATCACAAATCCCTATAATCCTAGTGTACTATAGCCCAAAACAGAGGTTACTCCGTGGTTACAAATTGAGCTTATGCGGCTTTATGTTGTGGCAAAGCGAGGCAACCCATAAGCTAATATAATATTAAAATCCATAAGCTAACATAATATTAAATATTAATTTATTAACTGATGTACTATTATATATCAACATATTAACTTCAAAACATGGTTCGCCGAACCGGACGGTTCGTAACAGATTTCCTGGCTAATGATACTGTGATGGCCAGGTATAACGGCGTGACTAACAATTCACACTAGAACCAGCTGATTAGAATCGGCTGGTTCTCAACAAGTATCGCTGTTACGATACGAACCGGCCTAAAAAACAGGCCGGTTCACCTTTTATATAGGGGTTGGGCTAAGAATTCTTTAACACTTGAAAGACGGTCCCATTCACAGAACAGGCCCATACTTAGACTTGGGCTCTCCCACTTACTGGTTTTATAACTAACCCTTCCTCACATCTTCTTTCAATTCTTCCGATGTGGGACCATAATTTTTTTTTTTTGATAATTAGGGACTCATACAAATTATATTCTACAATCTTTCAGATGCTCTTTTTATATAGCCCCTTCTATATCCTTTTCCTTAAACTATCCGATGTGGGATATGTATAACTTATAACATGTTTTAACTTCTGATTGCGTGTCCTTTTTTTTTTATCCGACTTCTTATTATGTTTTTTTTTTTTTTTTTTTTTTCCCTGAAAGATTAACTTCTTATTATGTTCATAACATCAAACATAAACCAATGAATTAGAGGGTTTGGTCCCAATCTTTCACTAAATTATTATTCTTATTTTTTTCACAACCACATTAAATCAAGGCCTTCTCATTTACACTATTCTCTTTTGAATTAAGTTTACTAGAAAATTTTAATTCTCTAAGTCAATCAAAATAGAATTTCATATTTAGTTACTCCCTCCGTCCCATAATAGTTGGGTTCTTTGGGAACTGTGACAATGTTTGTGCCTTTAATATGGAATATGAATATGCTTTAATAAAAATTTAATTTTTCAATTGTGCGCTTTGTTTCACTCAAGTGCGCGCCTCGGCTTGCACCTTGTGCCTAGGCTTCAAAGGACCTATAGCGCCTTAGTGCACCTTGGGCCTTTGAATCTACTCCTTGTACCTCCTAAATTTGTAAATCTAGCCTCTATATTTTGATTTTGAACTTTATGAATGAGTATAAATTGAACTTACTTACCAAAAAAACGTATAATTTGGGCTGGATAGTAATTTGGGTGGTTTGGACTTGGGATCAAGTTGTGGGATGATCAAATCCCATGCCTACCTCTACTTTGGCTGTAATTTCACAAAAGATCTATGGGATTGTATTGTGATCAAAATTCAAATGTGGGCTGGTGAGTAATTTGGGTTGTTAAGGATCACTTTTTGTTTTTATTTATTTATTTATTTTTTGTTGATAATTAAAGGTTAAGCACTCAAAAGGGGAGCGCATCCCATATACTTTAAGGATCAAATTTTACAGTGGGTTAGTGTTAAATTCAAACTTAACTCTTCTGTGAAATGGTCTGTGGGGGTGCTGTTGTGGCATTGTTTATCATATTTGTATGAACATAATCATTGAATGCACAGTTTTTTTTTTTTGGTAAGTAACGTATTATAGACTGCCCTCAAAAGGGGATAGCATCCCAGGAACTACACAAGGGCCATTTAGGGCCCTTAGACACTCAAAGTATCCACAAAAGTCCACTATCTCCCCTATAGATTTATAAAATCTCCCCCGAATCCAAGAAAATAAAGTATTAAGAATGAAGAACTTAAGCACACTAATAGAGGTTTTCTCTCCCTCGAAGGCCTCCTATTTCTCTCTCTCCAAAGGACCACCACCACAAGCATAGAGGCGCTATCCTCCAGACGACACAAACCTGGGCTCCCACAAAGCCACCCCTCCATGCCTTAAGAGCACTCCTCGAAGAAAGGGGCATTACCCACTGAACTCTGAAGATGCCCAGGAGTATATCCCAATGATCTCTAGGCAACGGACAGTGGATAAGAAGATGGTCAACCGTCTGCTCATCCGCCTTGCACACGAAGCACCGTTCATGAGGGTCTGCCCCCTCCTCCTCAAGTTGATCGTAGTAAGAATCCGACCCATCACCGCAGTCAAATTAAAAAAAAAAAAAAGAGCCACATTCAGAGGGGCTTTTGTGCACAACACAACCCTCCATGGAAAAGGAAGAGACTCTGTACTCACCAAGATCGAATAAAGGGAGCAAACACTGAAACTCCCCTGAGAAGAGGGAATCCAGATCCACTCATCCATCTCCATGCCCTCCACCTTCTGGGGATAAAGTATTGCCAAGAAATCGAAGATATCCTCTAATTTCCAGTCCTGGAAATGCCTCACGAATTGCATATCCCATGTCAACCCTAAACCATCAAGGCGATAGCAGTCGGCGACCATGGCATGTCTATCTGTCACAATCCTGTGAAGCCTCAGGAACTGGAAGGTGCGGGTGAGAGAGCGATCCCCGCACCAAATATCCTCCCAAAATTGAATGTTCCTGCCATCTCAAACTCTGAAATGAATGTGTTTTGAAAACTCATCCCAACCCTTCCAAATGAATTTCCAAACTCCAATTCCAGCTGGGCCCTGCACTTCTAAAGAACACCACCCTCCCCTTTCCTTGCCGAACTTTAAACCAATGACCCTTCTCCAGAGATGATTCCTCTCCATCCCAAATCTCGACAGCCCTTTGCCCAACAGAGGTGTATTGAAGGGGGGTAAGTCTCCTAATCCCCAGCCCGCGCTCCTGTAGAGGCTTGCAAACCTAATCGCACACAAGGTTATACTTGAACTCCTCCCCTATCCCATCCCTTCTGTTCAAGTTTCTCAATCCTCTCTCTCTCTGAAGCTGGGACCTGGATCAGGGACAGGAAATAACTGGGTCCCAAACTCTCAAATCTTTCAATACCTGGGTCCCAAACTTCAACTCTCAGCTTAGGTGGGCCAGAGGCAAGCCTAGATAACATATCAGAAAAGCTCCAATCCTTTAACCCAAAATATTCGCCGGAGTAGAAATGTGGTCAACCCCTCCAATTGGGAGAATCTCACTATTCCCTAGATTCACTTTCAAACTAGAGACTGCCTGACAGCAAACCAACACGCTCTTCGGATATCTCAACTGTTTCACATTTGCATCGCAAAACACTAATGCTCCATTTGGTAGGAAGGAAGGAAGAGAGGTGGAGGGAACATAGGAAGGAAGAAACAAACTTCCTTCGATTGGTAGTGACAATGCAAGGAGAGAAGAGAAAAGGGTAGATGAGTCATCCTTCCTCCACAAATTTTCATCCCTCCAAATATGGACGAAAGATGCGAAGGAATAAAGGCAAGGCTATTATTAAAACATTTAAGTTACAGAACTTTTCTTACAATTAGTGCTCTCTCTCTTCTTTTCTCTCCTAACAAACAAAATAAAGGATTATATCATTCTCTTCTCTTCCATCCAACCAAACAAAAAGTGGGAATGATAATCATTCCCTAGGGATGTCTCATTCATCTCCTCTTCTCTCTCTTCCGTTCAACTTTCTTCCTTCCTACCAAACGGAGCATAAAGTGTCATCGGCAAATAAAAGGTGGGAAATCTCCAACTGATGAAACTGCTCTCTGCCCACTCTAAAACCTATTGTGAAACCCAGCTCCACCACTCTCCTCATAAGACGACTAAAAGCCCCCCTCACAATAAGAAACAGGAAAGAAGGAAGAGGGCCCCCCTGCCTCAAGTGTCTCGAACTGTAAAAAGATCCAGAGGGGTTCACAAGCACTGAAAATCTCACAGTAGAGATACAACAAGAAGAAATAAGCCTTCTCAATATCCAGCTTGCATAACATCCCCGGAATTCCTCTACTCAATCTAGAGTCCACACACTCGGAAGCAATGAGAGATGAGTCCAAATTTGCCGCCCACCCACAAAATCATTTTGAGACTCTGAGACAGCACCATTCAGCGCCCTTTCATGCAAGAGGATAGGACTTTAGCAATAAGTTTGTAGACGCTACCCACCAAACTAATAGGTCTAAAATCCTTGATGTCTATAGCTCCCCCTTTCTTTGGGGTGAGAGTGATGAACGAGGCATTCAAGCTCTTCTCAAAGCGGCCTTGCTCATGAAAGGCATGGACTGCTCCCATAACCTCCTCTCTCACTACCTTTCAATTGTGTTGGAGGAAGCTCATTGTGAACCCATCTGGACCCGGAGCTTTGTTTCCATTGCAACTAGTCAATGCCGAAAGCACTTCTTCTTCACTGAAAGGTCTCTCAAGGTTGTCTCTGCCTACTCCGAAATCGCATCAAACAACAAACCATCCCAATGGGTCTCCAGCTAAACTCCTCCATGTAAAGTTGCTGGTAAAAAGCTACAATCCCATGACTCACATCCTCCTCTCGACTCAAAAGCTTCCCATCAATCCGAATCCTTCCAATGTGGTTGCTCCTCCAGTGAGTATTAGCGAGCTGATGGAAGAATTTTGTATTCCTGTTACCTTCCTTCAACCACAACACCCGTGATCTTTGTCGCCAAGAGACGGAAGGATTTCGTATTCCTGTCACCTTCCTTCAACCACAGCACCCTTAATTTTTGTCGCCAAGAGATCTCCTCTGAAATGGCAATCTCTCCAATCTCCGCTTTGCACTCATTCCGCCTGCATCTTTCCTCCTCGCTAATATTTCCTTGCCCCTCCATGCGGTCAAACTCCTCAATCTTTGAAAGAGCTCTGATTTTTTCTCCACTCCAAGTTGCCAAAGACTTACCTATTCTACTTCTTGATATCTCCCTTGAGCAATCTAAGCTTCGAGGCTAACTTAAAGCTTGAATTGCCTCTCACCCGATAGCCTCTCCACCACGAGCTAACTCTTACCAAGTTGGTGTCTGCTGTGTAGTGTTAAGAGGGTGTTAGGGGGAGGTTTGCAGGGTTGAAGGGTTTATAAGGACTTCCCTATGATCCGTATTGTATATCAGCATTGCAATATCTCAGTGCATTGGGTTCCTAGTATTGTTTTACTGATGATTGAACTTTTAAATAGCAAAAATTGAACAATAAAACACAGCCAAGCAACAGGAGCAAACCCATAGAGCCATACCCTCTGACAAAACAAATAAACTGACATAAGCAATCTGGAGATTGAAGGGTAGCATTTTCTTTGTATAATAGTTGATTTTATTTTATTATTATTATTTTTTTGGAAGATGTGACTTACAGATGGGAGAACCTGCTAGCTTAGAAGATTTCTCCTTGTTTTTGGATACTAACTAGAGAAGTTTGAAGTGGTTACTCAGTGTTAACTTTGTGGAATCTTTTCAGTGTTGGATTTTCTATTTAGATAGTGGTTTTGAACATAATTTGACCTTAGTGGTTTATGTTGAGAGGTTGACTATTTGCAATCATTGTGTTACATGTATGGCAAGGCTGGAGTCGGTTGATCTTCTCTTATCATATTGTCCTTTTTCTTTTGCATTGTGTACTTGTTTATCTTGGTAGTCACTGAGCCACTTCTGAAGAATCTGTTTTTGATATTGCAAACAAAGCTTGATTAAGAAGGTTAAGAAGTTGTGATGTCCAGAAGGAGTTATTATTCTAAGAGGATTGAGAGGAGATAAGTAGAACTTTTGAGAAATTAAGAATCCTTAGTGAAATAGTTACTTGAGGGTTTTTATTGTTACATATCCCATCTTGGGATTTGGTTTTATAAGAATATGTAGAATTTACCTCTACTATTTTCTGCCAACTTGTATGCTTTGTTTCTTTCTGTCTTGCACTTTGTCCAAAATTATGTCTAAACAATTGTTATCTTCTTTTCATAATCCTTTTGGTCAACTAGCACTAAACTATTCTAAAAAATTATGAAAGAAATATATGTTGGAAAATGACAAAAAAAGGGGCCAATCCCATGTGAATGATCTTGAGGCTTGGCTTAATCCCTCTTGTGACGTGCAAGATCACAGGATTTTTCAATGCGTAAGGTCATTGGCTTTTCATCCTATAATAGCTTCCAGCGAATTTTCATTCAATGCACTACATATTCAGTGTTGTACCATAATATTGGTGCTTTTGCTTTGTTGCATTTCCTGGATGTTCTAAGGGTTATTGAAACATGCTGGCACATAACAATGTTGAATTTTATGTCCCTATACTGGCTTGCAAGGATCAGAGCTTTCTATCTATATATGTGATACTCAATTCAGACACCAAGCTAACTAATAAGTTCTGATACTAGAGAATTCGATTCATAATGCCTTATTAGAGCATTACGGATTCCTGGATGTGTTATGTTTCATTGTGACATTACCTGTTTTTCTAAATTGTACAATAGAAAGAAAGTGATCTCTGTTGCCTTTTTTTTTTTGGTTGATAAATAAAGAATATATTAGAGAGTGTTCAAAAGGGGAACGCATCCCAAAAGCTGTACATAGAAAGGTCCTAGGGACTCAAGGAACCCAAAAAATTCAAGATTTCTTCTAAAGATAGTGATCTCTGTTGCTTGTAATTTCTGTTCCAAGATTTATTTTGAAAATTCTCCACTTTTTATTTTCTTATTTTTTTTTTTTAAATCATATTGGATGAAATCACCCAATGTTTTCCTTCCATTAGCATCTGATGTGCTGCTTTCTTTGATTAGTTATGTACGTAGCGAATGCTAGTTTTGAGCTGGTTAATGGATCGGTTTTCCTTCTTTACTTGGCTATGGCAGGTATTCAATCACAAAAGCCTTTTGCTTGGCTTTTCTGTTGACGCTATTCAGTATGTTTGATGTGCCTGTATTTTGGCCAATTCTATTGTTCTATTGGCTGGTGCTCTTCATTTCAACAATGAAAAGGCAGATAATGCACATGATCAAGTACAAATATGTACCCATCTCTGTTGGCAAGCAGGTATCTGTTTTCTCTCTGAAGCCTATTTGATTATAAACTGTAAAAACATTTTCATATTATATCCTTTTAGTTGTCACTTTATCGTCAAGGTTTTTTAGTATTCAACTGTTCCTTCTCTTTTTTCAGCGGTACACTGGAAAGAAAGTAATCTCAGAGGATGACACAAACATTGTATCAGCTTAATGCTTCAGGTAGATTGAATAATTTAATACTGAAAACATGCATATGTTTAGGCAACAAGTTCGTTTAGGGTATTTACCAAAAAAAAAAATTGTTTAGGGGACGACATTCTTCAAGATTCGGATTTCTCTGAGGATGTGGAGAACTGATTAGTTCTATGATTCATGTATGATAATTTTCAGATTTTGCTGGGAAAAGACTTGGGGTTTTCTTGTGGCGAGGGATAAGCTGGTTCCCTAAGAGCCTAATACTTGTTATTAATTTGTCCTTTTGATAGGATGCAGTTATTCAATTCTGGCTTACTGTAAGTGCTGACAAAATGAATTGCTCAGTGCAGTGTACTGACTGTAGAGTTTGCAATGCAAATTTGAAATATTTGTCATTTGTTTCTGTGCTCCTTTTAAGATGTTAGGCCTTTTTCTTATACAAGGCTAAGTTTGGCTGCCACCCTTCTTTAAATTTTAATTTGGTTGTTGCCGACTAGGAGCTCGGGTTTGTGAATGTTTAGACATAGATGAACTTAATACAAATTATGTTGCTAAATCAATGGTCCAGATCAAAAGATTTGGCACAACATGAGCGATAATGAGACAATGCCATCAAGTGAGAAAAATACAGGATTATGTGACAATTAAGGTTAGGATTCTGTAGGGGATGCACCAGAAGAAAGCAGATAAATATGGGTATGCTAAACAGATGAGATGTAGGTATAAAGTTGCGCAATGGGAGGTTGTTATAAGATGTTCTATCCTAAGAGATAAGGAAAGATAGGGAAAGTCATAATTGAATGGGAGGGGGGGACTGGGGAGGAGCATGATATGGATGTCCTTTTTAGATAGTGTTATATGCTTTCTTGCCCTACAAGTTGTAGCTGTCAGGTCCCTTTACTTGCCTCCACCATGGGGCACATCAATTCCACCTCTGGCTTTCCAGTCTTGGTTAGTACACTATACATCTTTTATCATTGTTGCTGAAAATTTTAATGCCTAAAGTCGATTTACTCAGCCTACCCTTAGAGCCCGTTTGGTGTTGTTGCTAGAATAAAAGAAGCGCTTTTGTCACTAGAGCTGTCAACAAATTGCGGTCAGTGAAAAATATGTTAGGTGTTTTGGTGTCATATTATAATAAGTACTTTTTATAATTAAATTATTTTTAAATTTATTTGGTAATAATTTTTTTTAAAACACTTGTATTGCTACTTTACAATAATATCCTTTTATTTAATGTTACCATATTCGATAATAGCAACTTAATAAAAGTAGGGCTGAGATTGTCTTTATAAAAAATAAAAAAAAGGGATAAAATTGTCTAAGGAAAAATAGTTACATAAAGTTTACAATATCTACTCAGAATGCAATTTAATAAACTCCAAAGTTTAGCTTCATTCACAAGTTCTACCGAGCTAAAATTGGTAACCATTAAAAGGGCTTTTAATGGTTATCAAGCGTACCTGAATGCAATTTTATTTTATAAAATAAAAGCGCTTTTCTCTCCTTAGGAATTGTTTAGTGTTTTCTTAGAGATAATAGGGGTGATTTGGTTCGAGTTATGATTCTAATTGCTACTTTTATATATTCCTAGGTTGCGAGTCTTGTGACAGGGATGACAAACTTATTGTTAATTTTGGCAGTTCAGAATTCCACTATAAAGTAATGTAGTGTCAATTTTAGTAGATTCTGAAATCTTTTCGTCATTATGTCTGAATTTATTGCAATGATAAGAAAGAACAAGAGAGGAAAACATATATTGGTTCTAATCCTTCTCTGTGTTTTTAGGAGTTGAAAAGTATTACTTTAATTAGCTAGTTAAACCCACATTTTAATAAGCATCACAGATCCCCAGTAGTTGAATAACACAGTATTGCATGTAAAAAGGTGATAGGGACTCCTTGACCATTCTATCACTTATTAAAAGGGTTGGTGGAGGACCACCATTTTCTAGTTCCAAGCGAGTGCAGTTGTTTTAGATTATCAGCAATTTACTAATGCCCCTATTAGATGAATGATAAACAAAATTTCGTAGTTGATCAATTCAATCATGTTTTTGGACATCTAAACCAAAGTCATACAAAGCGGGGCTGCGGGAGCGACAACTGTAGCGTGAAAGAGGCAAAATTTAGTGACAGGATGGGAGTTGGAGCATAAGCGCACACACACACGGAGTGTGAGAGTGACATTCGTTAGGAAGAATTATGTAACTTAGCATTTAACTACATATCAACACCTGAAACAAAAAGCAAATGCTGCCGTATACTTCAGGGTAAGAATGTTAGATTAGAAGTTAGAGATGCGAAGGCTTGAGCCGGACTCCCAAGGACAGGCTCGAAGTCAGGCCCCAGAGAACAACGGGGAGTGACCCAATCGTTGGGCTGCGAAGGTGTTTGCAACATTATAAACATTTAAAATGGAATTTCCCGTTTTTTATGTTGCTATTGCTAGGTATTGGAGTAGAATATACTTTGCATACATTAACTCTTGACACTGGATTAGTGTCTTCGGATCTATTACTCAGTCCTATGTCTAAGTTTCGAGACTGGTAGAGTATATGTTCGTGATGGTGCTTTCAAACTTGCATTCTCATCCATTGGACCAAGTGCAAATCCATAATCTCTGAGTCCGGCAACTTGAGGCCACAGGCTCATTTGATTGTGCTTTCACGATAGCTTTTTCCTAACCTACTAAATAGTTTCGGTATAAATGATTTGTTCACATCTGCTTTCCATAACTTGAAAAACTACTTGTATAAATTGATTATAGGCGTGCAAAAAAAAAAAAAAAAAGATTATTGGTGTTATAAAAGATGTGTACAGTATTAATTGCTGTTGAATTTTGATGACACTCTTGCTTGTAATTGTAACAGTGTGTGTAGTTGACATTGTTGAAACATAGGCACCACCCAGCTTTAGCCAGCCTGTGTATGATACATTTATCATACTGTTGATTGATATTATTGATAACCATAATATATAGGGTAAATTACACTTACACCCCCTGTGATTAGGTCATATTTCACCTATATTAACATTTTGGTTTTAGATTTCACATATATTTAAATTAGTGGTTTAACATTTCACTCACACCCCAAATGTCAATTTTTGACTTAGTCAGAGTATTTTGAGGTGTTAAAGGACTATACTACCCTTTGACCTCATATTGACTATTTTTTTTGTGACCAAACTACCCATCACATTCACCACCGCCCTTCTCTCTGTAAACCTTCCTCTTTCCCTCTCTGCCTCTCTTTTTTGCCTCTATTTCCCTTCTCCCTCTCCCTCCTCCTCCTCATTTTCTACCCCCACAGCTCTTTTCCCCTATATAAAAAACCCCTTCTTTCACAGGTCACAAACCCTCACACACAGATCCTTCGTTGAGGGTTTGAGAAAATGGAGAGAGGTAGCTACAGTCGTGGCGGTGGCGGTGGGAAAGACGGAAGTGATTGATTCGCCGATGATGACAGTTTGTCAGATCAAACGGCGACGACAGCGGAGAAGACGACAATGATGTCGAAGCCTCCGGCGGCGTTGAAAATGGTGGTACAAAGGCGAAGAAGTTGAAGCCGAAGAAGCCCCACTCTCACAGGTCACAAACCCTCACACACAGATCCTTCGTCGAGGGTTTGAGAAAATGGAGAGAGGCAGCTACAGTCGCAGCGGTGGTGGACGTGGTTGCTGTGACGGCGGGAGAGACGGAAGGGATTGATTCACCGATGACGACGATTTGTCAAATCAAACGGCGAAGACGGCGGAGAAGACGGCAATGATGTCGAAGCCTCTGACAGCGTTGAAAATGGCGGTACAAAGACGAAGAAGTTGAAGCCGAAGAAACCAAAGCTTTCTGTATCCGATGCCGCGATGAAGATCGATGCCTCTGATCTTTCTGTTTTTCTTTTTTGATAAGTTTTTTTTCCTTTAATTAGATCTTTCTGTTTTTCTTGATGAAATATCTGTGAGTTTACGATTCTCTCTCTATATTGTATCAATTTGATTTGGTAGACTCTGATCTGTTGTTTGAAATTGTATTTGAATTCAATTTTGTGTTTGTTGTGTTCAAAAATTTGAATTCCGTTATGGTTTGTGTAGGCTTCTTATGAATCGCAGCAGGATATACAATTTATGCAATTTCCCGACTATTTCGGTGGCGCATTTGCACCAGTTATTTCATCAAAAACTGGTGGCGGTGGTGTGGGATAGGGATAGGGGTTTTTTTGTCATTTAAGATTACATATATTTTGTATTAAAAATTTGAGGGTAAAAGGGTCAATTCGCATGATTGGAGTGTAAGTGAAAGTTAAAACTAAAATCTTCATCTAATTGAAATATGACCCAATCTCAGGGGGTGTTGGTGTAATTTACCCTAATATATATATATATATGTTAAGAAAATTAAAATGTATCAGTACAAAAATTAAATTATTGCAATATGGGTTATTTGTCTCTATTTTATTGTTTTTACTACATTTTTGGAGAAATGTATAGAGGTTAAAGTGAAGAGATTTACTGAATAGACAGGCAGTAGAGAGAGGTTTCACAATCGAAGCTTGGGGCAGGGACAAATTTTGGTACACTGAATGGAAGTGGGAGAAAAAAAAAGGCGATCAACCTCGGAGGACCATTGCAAGTGCGAACAAGGCGTTACCCTGACGCCAGCTTCTAATGACAATGAAATTAGATCCTCTCAAGGACAGGGATGGCCCCCTCCAAAAATAAAATGTTATGTACCAGATTTTACATGATTTCATTATATTTACCAAGTTTTCGGGGGGTCATTTTTTCTTTAACCTTGGGCAACAAACTCATTTGATTTTACTATGAAAACTTGAACCCTCATCTTTTTGTTTTTAGTATTAGACTGCAACTTTGACTAGTTATGGAAAATTTTGAACTAAAAAATACGTATTACAGTATATAATTTCAAATATGTTGAAAAACATTACTTCACTAACTGAATAATTTAACAAAGAATTCTTAATTTCTTATTTAATTTAGGTATTTACTTATTTCCACTAGTGATATTACTTTAATAATTTGGTTCCATATCACAACACAAATACAGATATTATGAGTAGAGTTTATTTGTTTAATAGGGGTGCACACGGTTCGTTTTGGTATTGCTTTTGGTGCAACTTTAGTCGAGCGAGAGCGAATTCGAGAGTGGAAGTGTGATAGTGACATAATTAAAGCAGTGAGAATGTGAACGAGAGCATGTGCAGAGCGAGAGCGCTCTCGGAGCGTGAGAGTGATGCCTGTTGAAAAAAATTGTTAGTTAGGGTGAACCAAGACCGTTACCAACGGTTTCTAAAAGCTACTGGTTCCCTTTTTTTTTTTTTAATTTTATTTTTTATCAATACTCTAACTAACCCAATATATTGGGACAAAACAAGCATCAATAGTCTTACATCATAATTATATTTATATAATTAAAAAATAATATATATTACTATTAAAACCCTAAAGATTGGATATTGAGTAAATCGACCCTAATCTTTGTCCTTCAAGTGTCCCTGCTCAACCCTAAAGAATGGATATTGAGTAACCTAATGATAAAAATTTAAAACTTCTATAAATCTAATATGAAATTACAATCAAAATTTTACTGATAAATGTATCGTCTCGTCTTTTGAGCAAGGATACCAAGTTACCAACTAGACTAATGGCATTGTGCAAGTTGCAGCTTGCTTATAAATGCTCAAATTGTAAAAAGCCAAATGTACCCTCCAAGTCATTTAAGGCACAATCACCCATTTTCTTTCTTCACTCAACTACTGAAGGGTGTGTTTTTGTCTTTCTACAAACATTATTGGTTTCTCTGGCAATATCACCATCCAACATAATACGGATTTAAGTTCGGAATTAAGAACTGAGGAGCTTGCCTGTTCCAGGAATGCCATACCTACACCCTGAACATAGCGCGTGTGTAACACGCAACCAATCCATGTCCAAAAAAGTCATTTCAATCGTTCCCAAAGACCAATTTACGCCACTCTCACCGTCAAAACTCAAACCAAGTACATTCCCCAAAGGGCAATCTAAGTCCAATTCGGAGGCTGTGTCTTCACAGACACAACCAGCGCGTGTGCGTACTCCTATCCTCCTATCTCAATCTTTTCCTTTTAATTGCCACTGAAAACCAACATAAACAATACTACAGTAGTAGCTTTTGTAGTTTTGTTCTCTCTCTCTCTCTCTCTCTCTACACACAATGGATGGTGGACTTCCCATGCTTAACTGTCTCTTGCAGCACACACTCAGAAGCCTGTGTACGCGGTCAGATTCTTCCAATTCTTCGAGGTGGGTTTACGCAGTCTTCTGGAGGATCTTGCCTCGAAACTACCCTCCACCAAAGTAAGAAAAAATTGACACCAAACCTCACAACAATGCACACAAAAAAAAAAAAAAAAAAATTGAAATTTTGGTCACCAAATTGATTCAAGATCATCACATTGCTGTGTTGCAGGTGGGATTATGGAGGCGGCGCGCTCGATCGCGTTAAGGGGAACAAAAGGAATTGGTAATTCATTCAATTCACTAGGATGATTAATTGTCCTAAACTCATGTTCCATTTTTGGTTCATGTTGTGTGTGTGTGTGTGTGTGTTTTTTTTAAGTTAATTGGATTTGTTTTTTTTTTTAACTTTCAGGATTCTTGTTTGGGAAGATGGGTTTTGTGACTTTTACCAATGTGAGCAAGCTGGGAGTGGGTACATAAAGGGGAGGTTTGGGGCTGATGTCTTCTTCAAAATGTCACATGAGGTCTACAATTATGGTGAAGGGTAAGAATTAATTCATATTGTTATATATATATATGTGTGTGTGTCTATGTATATTTGTTTGCTTGTGTTGGTGGAAGTGAGGTGAGTTTGTGAAATTAAGTGTTATTTTGCATGGCATTTGTTTGAAGATTGATTGGGAAAGTGGCAGCAGATAACAGTCACAAATGGGTGTTCAGAGATAGCCCAAATGAGAAAGATTCTAGCTTCATCTCATGGAATGTCTCAATTGACCCTGTAAGAGAAATTTAATTACCCGAAAGATTCCTCTCTTTCTGTGCTCAATTGACATCAACACAAACACACAGATCACTATCCCTACTTCAAAATCTAACTTTCTTATCAACTCTTCATTGACATCAGCACAAACACATAGATCACAATGTTCTGTGGCATGAAATTATTTGCGTCTTGAAATTGAAATTAAAATTGACCTAATTTTTTTTCGATTCCAATTTCAAGATGACATGATTTTTTTCCGATTCTAATTTCAGAACGCCAATTTCATGTCATCGAACATAACATAACTATACTTAAAATCTTTCTCATGAACTCTTCTTCATCACATAAAACAGCAACCAAAGACATGGGAATTTCAGTTCAATTCAGGCATTCAGGTCAGTTAATTTCCTTCAAAACAAACTCCCCCCCAAAAATTAACCCTTTCATGTTTTTTTGTAAGAAACAGTTGACAATTTTCTTTCATTTTGCAGACTATTGCCATCATTTCCGTAAGAGAAGGCATAGTTCAACTAGGCTCATTTGATAAGGTCTCTGTCTCTCATTCTCCGCACACACACATACACACACACATCAAAATATTTATTGATGATTGATGGGTTTTGCAGATTGGGGAAGATCTCAATCTGGTGATAAGCATACAGAGGAAATTCAGCTACCTACAGAGCATACCAGGCATTTATGCAATACAGAGACCATACTTACCCATTCAACATCCGTACACCTTCAAGCCCAACAATCCTCACATGATGATTGAAACCAATATTGAAACGAGTTTGCAGATCAACGACAAGCGGCAATTGACCGGAACGAAGAGACTCTACGGCGAAGAATCGGCTCAGACGACGTCTCCGATCAAAGCCATCAACTTGGGGTACAGCAGCAGCCCACAAAATGGTGTCACTGGACCACCTCCCGTCTGGTCCATACCACCTCTTCTACCCCCCATGTCCTGCAGTTTTGGAGCTCTTCTTTCAAAGCTACCTTCTGTGGTACCATCCTACAATGCCATTGAAGCTCTTGATCACACACCAGTTCTGATTAGCAACATTAATGATACCAATAATACTACTACTAATACAAGAGAAGGTGGTGTTAAGGTGGTGGTTGATAATTGTGGTGTTTTAAGTCATGAGAGCCAAAGTGGTGATGTGAAAGTGGAGTCATCTAATCAAGAAGAAAAACCCAGTTGCTTAAACCCTAATTTAGGGTTGGAAGATGGGGTGGTTGTGGGATTAGGGTTTGGGCCAATGAGAGAGGGAGGAGCAAGTGGTGGTGTAAATCCAATTGATTAGGAAACTCAAATTGCATTTATTGTCATTAAGAGATTATACTAAGTACATTTGGTTGGTAATCGTTTGGAAGGTAGTTCACCTTCTTATATTCCAAATTGTACCTTTGTTCATATAATAATATGATAAAATAATATTTATTTATTTATTCATTGGACAATGATGAAAGCGTCATGTCTCTTAGAGCATTTCATAATTCACCGAGTACATGCAGTTCCCTCATCCCATATGCACTTGCGGAAGAATTCGAACTCTTAACTCTCAAAATATAAGGTGAGAATTTTTATTTCCTTACTAATATTTATTAATGAAAACCATAAAACAAATTGCTCAATTTATTGTAAAGTTGTAATCTTACCAACTGCTAAATACAAGAACAAAATTGAGTGGTGATGTAACACTTGTTGTGGAGGTGATTGTGACATGCAGAAATGAGGTCCAACATTTGTTTAGAGGGGGACCAAGCAACAATTAGTGAATGATATCTCATCTATAACTTATTTTATTTTCTATATTTACTTTTTTGTTTAAGTGTCACCTTTATAGAAAGAAATTGATAATTAAAAATGTTGTCAATCTAACATAATTGCAATTTAGGAAATGGATCAACTCTAACCCTTTACAAGTCTAAATCCAAACATTAATTAGCTGTGCTAATGTTATTATTTCATGCATAAATTTATTTCTGTTGGTTTCGAACAAATTTTAATTTCTTATACTTTTTACTTTTTCACATAGTTGGCCCAAATTTATTGAACAGTTGGCCAAAATTACACAGAAATAATAAAAGGTTCTAAAGATTTATTTTTCAAAGCTGGCCCACTATCGTGACATTTTCAGTGAACTTTCATACAAACTTTTAAGTATTTTGTCAACTAATTTTGAAAACAAGCTCAAAAACCTTGAGGTTGTCTACTTTTATATGGTTGAATTTTGAAACAGTTGTCACTAATGTCATCTCATAAAGTAGTATTGATCTATTGCCAGTGTAGGTTGTGAATAAATTTCAAAGTTTTTACACACATACAATATATATTGAAGTATGTTCATATATATATTATATACACACATAAATTAATTACGTATTTATGAAAAATTAAGTGAAAAAGGTTTACATAAATAATCAATCCTACATACAAATTTTTTTTTTGAAAAGTATCAATCCTACATACATGACCAGGTAGCGTGTGGTGCACATCTCTGATGAATTAATGACTTTCCTACAGGTTGTGTATTGTGATGTGTAGTCACCATCTGCAATCCAACAACTCCAAATCAACAGATTAACAATTTGCACTCCCTGAAGCCATAGACAACTTCATTGTCATTTGTTTTATAAAATCACTTATCTTAGTACAATGTGATTGGGCGCTCTAGTTAGTAGAGCGCGCTCTACTCTCTCTGTATCCGTCTTCGAATGTCCCTCTAATTTGTAACGAATTTAAAATAACAATAATAATAATAATTGTTTTTCTAAAGCATTTCTTGTTAATGTTGGATAAACAACAAATCATATTTATTGATTTTATCAAGAAATTAAAGAAAAAAAGATTTTTTTTTTTTGGACGGACGATGGTGGCGCCGGACATCTTAGACTATCCTATAATTCACCACCTGACACATACAATCCAAAATTTACTACAAAATCAAAGATTCCTCCCCTGTTTAAGTTATCTACGGGTACGATCCATACTATATTTGACCAACTGCCCTACATACCCCATTTACGTTCTTAATAGTTCATTTCTCCGTTTCACATGCACCGGACAGTTACTAGGAGAATTTCATGAAGGTAAGCTAAGAAGGTTAATAATTTTGACCTCCAAAATATGAGGTGAGAGTCTTTTGCCACTAATTATGCCTTAGTTTCACCAAATTATCGAAGAAATAATTGAACAATAAGATTGGTTAAGTTCTAATTTAATAGACTTTAATATGTGAACATTCTTACAACACATCTATCATTTCAAAAATATGATCCAGGAAACAAGTGGATTCATGCCTCCTTGTTTGTTCTTTGTTAGAGTGGGACTTGGATTCATGTGCTAGTTGTGGAGTACAGCTTTGACAGCCAACTCAACAATCCAAGTCCAACTTGTTTTTGACAATTTTGAACATCACTTTTTGTTGCTCAAAGTTGAGATGGGTCATTTTTGACCAACCCCTCAATTTTAATTAATCAGAAAGGATTGTAATATAAAGCCATTGTCTCTATTTTTTGTGGTAAAAACTTTTGAGGGTTAATAACAAAAGTGAGTGGTAAGCAAGTTTAGAAATAAAAATTTTAGTTGAACTCGAACTCGTGCAAAGTAATTTAATTCGACAAACTCGAATCTAATGTGAAGTTTAAAAACAAACAAATAAATAATATTAGATTTGATACAGATTTGAATTTGATTACGTAAATAGTTTTATACTTTTGAGTAAAGTTTGGGTTGATCTGTTGTTCTGTTTACAAAAAAAGAAAATGAGAGAGAGAGAGAGAGAACGATAATTGAGTCTAGATCAAGTTGTTGCACAGTGACAAATAGGTATCTAGTCCGACACAATGGATGGTCCCCAACCTAAACGTTTTATTTGATATTTTTTTATTGTCCAAGCTGTAGTAATGATCTATGAAAATGAGTCGTTGTATGTCACCAGGCACTCAAATGGCCCCAATTGTTAGGAATGTGACATGACTTGTTAGACCAGCTTTGGGACATAATTAATTAACTTTGAACTTCAATTTCTGTATTCTCTACCAATTCCAAAAGAAACATACACCACACTTTCCAATTTAACCCAAACTATAAACACAAACATTAATTAAACAATGAATAACAGAAATGGGAAGACAAAATTAGCCATGTTCAGATAATTTCACTAACAAGTTAATTGTACGTGTAACCTAAAAATTGAACTATGTACAACAACATTAATTGAACAATGAATAACAGAAATGGGAAGACAAAACCCAAAAATTAAACCATGGACAGCAACATTATTGAACAATGAATAACAGAAATGGGAAGACAAAATTAGCCATTTTTAGAGAATTTCAATAACAAGTTAATTGTATCCTCTAACACAAAAATTAGCCGACACTTCTTGGAGAGGCGGAGCTTGGCGTGATGTCGGATCAATGACGGGATCTAACTTTGACACCAACCATAATAAATTAGACACATCCCATCTAATAAAAAAAACTTAAGCATGTTGCATTACTCAAATATATCCATTTTACTTTCAATCCGAATCCATGTGGGACACCTCTAACATGAATCCGCTATGAAAAATGGCGGGTTAATTAGCTCTGTAATGAATTAGACACATCCCACCTAATAAAAAAACACTTAACGTATTACATAATGTTGCATAACTACTTATATATATTCATTTCACTTTTAATTCGGATCCGATGTGGGATACCTCTGACACGACTATGCTATGAAAAATGGTGGGGTTTACAAAACTGGGCCAAGCCCAAAGAGGCCAGAAGCCTTACAAAAGCCCCACTCCCTACCACTAACTAATATCTTAACCGAAACAATTGCAAGACACAAGAACATTAGCAGGTTGGATCTCCTCTACAAAAACAGAACTAGGAAGACTCTAGGCTGCCGCAACCATTCTATAGTCCTTGCAATTAGGGAATTTGATAGACATCAATTGAGACCAAATACAGTCATCGATGAGCTTTGGAAGTTGAAGGAGAAAATGAGCATTTTTCAATACAGATATGCTTGTTTCACTCCTTCAAAACATGGTATAGAGATTCTGTTGAGGGCAGCAAGATTAGTAATACCAACCTCACCATAGTCCTTAGGTGTGCCTAATGCCATCCAGTTAACTTTGGCTCCAGTAGCTTTGAATTCAGTTCCAGTCCATAAAAATCTTCTGAACACGCTGTTAACCTGATTAATGACCTGCAGAGGTAAGATAAAACGGGTGCTCTAATAGTTATGTGTGCTTACTAGAATAGTTTTAATAAGCTAAAGCCTCAAAGCATAAGACAAAAATCTAGTTATCCAACAGCTCATTCTAGAAGTAATTCTGTTAACAAGAAGTCCGCAATCATTAGCTTGGAGTCTAGAAGAACATAATGGCAGCCCCAACTACTTGAGAGGAAGGTGGCCATCTTCAAAAACACACATATTATTCATTATTATCAGTAGGAATATCAGAAGTGAACGTACATGAGACTTTTGTAGAGGTTGGGGTAAAGGCTTGCAAATTTAGAGAAAGTTCTTTGAGCTTCAATCAAGACAGTAAGGGATAGGTGAGAGATCTAATTATTAGCCTTGTGTCTCCAGTGGTAAAGGAAATTAGGAGTATTTTTAATGGACTTGGCTATAATAAAAGTTAGGACCTCCATGACAATGACAAAAAGGAAAGGTGAAATAGGGTCACCTTGCCTGAAACCTTTGGTACCTATAAAGTACCCCAAAAGTTCACCATTCACTGAAATAGAGAATGAGGGGCAGGTAATATTGTAGGCTTTAATCCACCTTGTAGAAAGGAAATTGAGGATGGTCAATGTGAGATAAATATTTTGTAATTGGCTAATTTCGGTATTAAAACAAGTTCGATCGAGTTGTATTTTCAAGTTTAAAATTTAAGATTGAAATTGGCTATTGAATTGAAGAGTTTGATATACTGAGATCTATGAAAAAAGTATGAAAAACACTTTAGGAAGTTGAGTTAAATGTTAGAACACTTTACATACATGATATGTTTTAGATTTTCTAAACATGAATTTTTCCAAGTGTTTTGTCTTTCCCATTTGAATCTGCCATTTGGGAACCGGTACCAACTTCTTCCTACTGATTCAAGAACCATTGTTAACTCTGGACACTCTGAATTGGTTCCAAAAGTGGCTAGAAGGCTTTTACAGATTTGGTAACTTGTTTCTAGTTTTGTCTAAACTTCCCATTTGGTATGGATTTCTTTCCAAAAGACCTATACATGAAATTTACTTCTTTCCTATGCATATCTAGGTCTTTGAAAGTCTATATAAATCTTGTTTTACATCTAGGTTGATATGACTTTCGCATTAAACCTTCTAATTATTTAAAAGCCTATTTGAGAGATATTTTGCAGAAAATCAAATCTGATTTTTCTGTTTTTATTTCTTGAACACACATATAAACACACAAGTGATTTAGTTGTATTGTTCTCTATCTCATCGGAATTGGAGCATAATTGAAGATTTAAAGTTTCTGAAAAGCAGATCTATTTCTTTTACATTAAATTTAGATCTTGAAGAAAAAAGGGTGAAGCGATTACACTTTGGAAGGGTCAAAGCATTTGAGGAGTATTGCTTGATCTACCAACAATCCTTCTACAAAGATCAAAAGTAAGTCTGGAGTCAAGAGCAAATTGTAAGTCATTGAACAATTTTTCTGCCGCTTGGGAACCGGTTCCGATAGAACCGGTTCCCAACTTGGCTACCGGTTCCTGGCAGCGGGTTTAGGCACTTAAGTATCTCTTTTGTGCATTGTTGGGTCAAATTGTATCCTTTCTATCTTCATATTTTGGCATCATCATCATCTCTCCATATTACTTCCATCATACATATACATCTATATATAACTTCAAATACTACATATTCATCATTCCATCATTACAATTGTGTTCCATTACATAATTGGGATTGTGTGAATTCATTGGTTTGAGGTTGGAGATTTGAAGATTGAAATTGACATTGGAGATTAGGTTTTGAAAAGAATTTTAGAGGATTGGTTAAGATCTTGTTGAAGAGCTTCTTATTTGTGATTGAAGACTTGGGTTTGACATTGTTGAAGCTTTTGCATTGAATTGTTGTTGATTTTTGGGGATTGAAAAATCAAGATCTATATTTCTCAAGAACAATTGTTGTGTTGCACACCAAGAGTTTGACAAAATTCCAGAAAGAGTTTTCAAGGCTCAAACCAAAAATTGTTGAAAATCAAATGGCTCCAAGTTTATCTAAGGAAGCTAAAGGCAAGGGAATTACAGCTCCTAAGCCTCTGAAGCGTCCTAGAACAAGCATAGTCATTTGTGAGCCTCACGACGAGTCACGTTCTCCTATGGATACACCATCTTCTCCTATGGAGGCTAGCTCTCCTCCACATGAGATATTAGCTTGGTATCCTTTTGTTTCCGCTATTGGGAAGATTGAGTTCATTGAAGAAGACTTCTACAATGAAAATGCATGGAAAGCATATAATAATATCTACAAGGATGGACCGATCAAGACATAGCAGAATGTGAATTTGAATAAGCTTTGAGATAATGCTGGAAAGAAGCTTGTAGAGTACATTGAGAAGAACAATTGGCTCTTCTTCACCAGGTTGGAAGGCGGTTTCTCACCTGACATGGTTCACTATTTCTACTCAAATCTCGCAAAGTTAATGAAGATGGATACTTTGAAGTATCAATTTTTGGCATCAACTATTATTCACTGAAGATGAACTTTGTGTTATTTTGGGTGTTCAGAAGAGAGTAAGCAGCACTGGATATGTGTTACCTATTAGAGGTCCAGGTCCAAAATGGTCAGAGATTTATTATGCTTTATGTGCACCGGGGTCTCCTAGGTATGTTGACTACATCCCATATTGTTATCTTATTGATAAGGCTACATTCTTAAATCTGTTTGCCATGGCAATCTGGTTTATTTTAGGAAAATGATGAAATTACTTTGGAATGGGCTCAAGTTATTTATCTTCTTGCTGTTGGAGCAAAGACATCTTCTCCTTTTCTTATGATTATTATGGGATTCTACAGAAAAAATAGGATTTTGCTTCCTCCTAGGGCATATCATCGGGATATTGTGTCTGAACTGGATCTTCGTGCTCTCAATAAGTTCAAGACTGCTAGGGAGAATGCAAGGAAGACTCTGAGAGGATCAAATGCTACTTCATCTCAGATTCCAGAGGTTACCAGGATATTTTCCTCCAAAGGGAATTTATCGAAAGATGACGTAAATCTAATGTACTCACTTCTTCTTTAGAATTAGAATACTATGTTTGAGAAAGTCATAGATGAGATATGAGATTTCAAGGCTAAGATGAGGCTGACTAGGGCACAACAGGCAAGTGGTTCTACTGAGGATGTCTACAGACCTGCTCCTCCATATCCGTCTATGGGTGATAAGGGTGATGATGATGGTGGTGGTGCTGCTGATGATGATGATGATGAGGATGGTAGTGATGATGGTGGTGATGATTTGATGATTTGTTGACCACTACTATTTCTTTTGAAGGAGATGCTTGATCTATCTATATTGACTATCATTTTTCTTTTATTCATGCATCATGCAACATGTTTTTGTTAAGATAACATTGTCATTATTTTGGTTATTCTTTTTGGCTGTTAATGACTTATTTATTCTTAATGACTGGTTTTTCTCTTTTTTCTTTAATTGCCTCACTTTGTCAATTTGTTCCAAAAAGGAGGAGAAAAATGGATAATTAATTCAAGGGGAGTTTATAATATGTGAGTTTATCTAATATGTTTTATTAAACTTTTACTGGCAGTTTTGTTTGATAAATGTGCAGGAAATCAGGTGAACTTTTATCCAGAGAAGAGAAGAGAATACAAAATTTTTTCCATCTTATTGACAAGTTGTAATCCGCTCTTTCGATCTGCTTGGGTAGATTATATTTGTTCTTTGGGTTTTGTCACGAAATTGCCAAAGGGGGAGATTGTAAGATATATATTTTGTAATTGGCTAATTCTGGTGTCAAAGTAAGTCCGATCGAGTTTTATTTTCAAGTTTAAAATTTAAGATCAAGATCGGTAACAGAATTAAAGAGTTTGATACACTGAGATCTATGAAAATTGTATGAACAATACTTTAGGAAGTTGAATTAACGGTTAGGATACTTTATATACATGGTATGTTTCAGATTTTTCAAAACTGTAATTTTTCAAAGTGTTTTGTCCTGCCCATTAGAATATGCCATTTGGGAACCATTCGTAAAGTATTTTTCCAAGTGTTTTGTCCTTCCCATTCATAATTTTTGTTTTAATTTGTGTCTTGATTGTTCAAGCTGAACGACAAGTGTATTAATACTATTGATTCCATAAAAACATCCTGTAGAACATGTATATAAGTGAGGACACAATGCATAATGAGTTTGGTTGGGTTATGACTTTGAAAAATGGTTTTTTTTAAAGGTTATTTTTCATTTTTCTGCAACGGTTTAAAAAATTATCAACAGTTCCTGATTCTACTCTGGTGATACAACTGCTCATTCACAGAAAAAAGCTACGGTACTCTCTCTTCAGAATAGGCAAATGGATCTCTCTACAGTGTTATAAACCTAATTTATGTTTCTAGTAAAGTATTGGTTGTGGGTGTGAAAATGGAGTTGGCTCCAATTAATCGGTTAGGCTATCATTCGAATGACACTAGTGAGGGATTAGTAAATGCAATATATCTATCACAAAAGAAATTTGAATCTGATCATGTCTGCAGCAGAGGATGGAGAGTTTGATGATCAGCCCAGTCTTAATGGCCATCAAGTTCATGGACCAGAATCATGACAACATGAGTAGCAAGACGACTCGCGGAAACATCAGATAGGAACAAAGTGGGTTCTGGACTTATAAAAGGGTAGACAATAACACCTAATAGCTTCAACTTTTTATAATTCGACCCACAACTTTAGTATCACAGTTAGAGCTACAACTCGGACGGGACCAACTCGAAATAACCCGAGCCCAATTCGAAATTTTATGGGCTTGGGCAATGTGTTTTTAGTTTTGGTTTGGGCCTGGGCTATATATTTTGAGCCTGAATTCAATTCGGTCTGGGCTTGGGTTGATATGGATGAAGTGCAAAGTCCAACTCGATTCCGAAAATATTATATGTTTAGTGGAGGATGTTAAGAAATTGGGTTTCAATGACCCTTCACAATCCCATTTTGTTATAGCGATTAAGGCATTGACCTCAATGAGCAAAGCAACATGGAAAAGGAAGATGGAGGTTTATGAAAAGTGATGTTGGTCTGAGGAAGAAACAATCTTGGCTTTTACAAGATGTCCGATGTGTATGATGGTATCCGAGGAGAAGATAATGGCGGTACTGAATTTTTATGTCAACGCAATGGGTAAGAGGATAATTCCCAGGTGTTCGGTACTTAAAGTTTTGTTGTCGAAAGGTTTGGTTAATTAAGGAACCACCCATTCATGTAGATGCATTGTTGAATTCCGGAGAGAGTTTGCTCCTCAAGAAGTTTGTGACCTGTTATGAGGAAGCTCCTCAGTTGTTGAAACTATATCAACAAAAATTGGAACTTTTAAATTTAGATGCTCGTGATTATGAATGTAAGAGTGGAGTATATAATTTGAAAGGGTATGCCAAGCACAAATTTGACTTGCAATTCTCACATTTCCCACACTCCCCTACGTAGGTTGGCATCACAATGTCACCTTCTTTAAAACCTCTCACTCCTTCACCAACACTCTCTACCATCCTGTGTAAACAAATTCCATCTATTTTGTGAGTGTATATATATATATATATATATATATATATGTATATATTCAAATGTATATAAAATGGGACATTTTAGGTATTTAAATTTTAAAATTTGACTTTCAATTTTTGAGAGAGAGAGAGAGAGAGAGATTACCCAGCACCTTCATGCCCAGGAACTCGTGGGAACAAAGGCTGTAAAAGTATTAAAAACAAAATCAGCAAACACTAAGCATACATTCAAGGATATTCATATATTTCACACTCTATTTTTCACCAATTACATTTCACTTAAATTATTTAACAAATAAAATAACAATTTTATTCATCAAAAGGTAGAGTATGTGAATACTTTAAAAATACTTGAGTGTGTTTTTCTTGAATGACAATAATGTCATTTTTAAATTTTTAAAAAAGTAAAAAAAAAAAAAAAAGAAAGAAAAAAAAAGAAAAAATTGGAATGCAGAAGGAAGGGTACTAACAACTGGAAGGCCATTGCAGCAAAGGATATCAGTGTGGCATAGACTTGCACACAGCATCTTAATCCTAATTTCTGATGATTTTGGAGGCTCCACCTGTATCTCTTCCACCTTCAACGGTAGCCCCGCCCCCCAGGACACCGCCGATGCCACATCATTTCATCAATCAATATATATATATATATGTGTGTGTGTGTGTGTGTGTGCGCGTGTTAATTTTTACTTAATGTAATTATTCAACTTTAGATTAGTTTTTATTGAATTAGTTCACTATTATCAATTTTAAAGAAACAGTGTGATACTAAAATAAACATGGATAGTCTTGCTATTAGTAAAATGGATGAAGAAGTTGGCTGCAAAATCGCCACATTAGGCTGAAAACCAATGCAAAATCGCAACAATAGGCTGAAGTATTGGGAAAATTAAGAAGAAATAGATGATCTTTCTGATTTTGGAGACACCTAATTAATTTATTTTTTCAGCATGCTTACATGCAAGGCAATGTCTGTGCCATTAATTCACATTTTGTAATTCTTTATAGTTCAAGCGAAGACATCCTCATAATTCATTACAGAATAACTTCCATTTTTTTCTTTAGATATATAGAAGCTGAAAGGGTATGAGGTGAGAGGTCAATGGTCGTAAACCTTGAATCAAACATTTGCCAAAGAAGATATAAAAAGGAAAATGGATCGACCAACGTTATATATAGAAATTAAACAGAAAGCATTAACATTAATTCAGTACTCTTGCATTCTTATTGATGGTCAAATCTTATATGAAGAGGCCATCCCAACACAACAATACATTACAGGAGCAGAGAAAACTCGAAGGAAAGGAAAACGAACTCTTATTACAACGCAGAAATATAAAAGCACCATACACGTACATATATATATATATATTCATCCCATTTGCAATATAATAATAGTAAGCAGATCATCAAGCATCCTCGAAGACTTTCAACCATAGTTCGCTTTGCTCTTTCCAGTACTCCCAAACGCCCGCTAATATGGGGCATCGTGATTCCACATTTGCCTGTTGGTGCATTAGCTATGTTACGCTCCATCCTGATGTAGCCCTCCTCTCCCCATTCTGTGCCCCAAGAGTTCCTCACAATCCAATAGTCCACGCCATTTTCTGTCCCGTATCCAACTACAGCCACACCATGGCTTAGCTCTGTCCCACAACTTGCCGTGAATACACCCTGAAGAAAAATGTAGCATCATATGTCTTAATGTTATTAGAAAAGAAACTAAACTACAATGATCGACCAAGGTAGAAATTTACGGATTCGTAGAAGTTGAATTCGGCCGCACTGGCATCAATAGCAACACTCACTGGTTGACTTGCCACTGCCTTTTGCAATGCCAACTCGTTATTTGGAGGAAGGTCTTCATAACTATCAATTGAGACAACCTTTTCATTTTTCTGCACATGAATAATAATGAGAGTAAAGAATGAGACTGATATATATATATTCTTCTTGTTTGTTTCTCTTTTAATTAAACATGTCTCAATAATACTAATTACCTTGTTCTGCTCGCACACTCATTGTGTACCATTATAAGGGTAATTCTTCTCGGTATTAATTCCACCATTCTCAATGATGAACTCAAATGCATCGTCCATGAAACCGCCATCACATCCGTCAGTATTTGGTGTTACATCACAGTCCACCAACTCTTGCTCCGAGAGTGAGATCAAATTTCCGGTCACTATCTTGTTTATCCCCTCGACAGCCGCAATAGCTGAGAACGCCCAACAAGCCCCTTCATTTTAAATTTACATTAATCAATATATGCTTAATTAAATGTTAATTTAAAGTATGTAGAACTAAAAATAAATGTCAAAACAAGGTAAAGTAAAAATAATCACGCGTATGTTCACACACGCGTGCAAACCGAAGGGTTAAAGTTCACTGATATGTACACATCCAACATCATTTAAGAAAAATGATAAAAGATTTCGTATATGTGTTAAAATAAAGAAATCATCTTTGAATTATTATTTATTTTTAAGGTTGGTGTTCTTTTCAAAAAAATTTAAAACATAATTTTTGTTAATGGATGCGTGGGTCCCACCATAACTTACCTTGACATATCCCAAGGACCCGAGTCCTGCACCATTTTTTTTTTTTTTCTTTTTTTGAAGAGAGGATGTACAATTTTTCTTAAAAATTTGCGTATATATAAATATATATATTATGAATAGAAAGTTTTAATTAGGTAGGGATAGCAATTGAACAGGTTTAGAATGGGTTGGGTATGAATGGGTCAGTAATCCATTCCCAACCCACCAATAATGGATCATGAACTAGTAAAGGCTCAAATGGACGGGTCAAAACGAGGTAATCCATTTCAAATCATTCTTTTTTTTTTTTTTTTTTTTTTTCGTTTTTGCCTTCTACAAATTTTTTAGTTTCTTAGTCACTATACAACTTAATCAATAATGACCAAAGGACCAAATGACCCAGCAGTACCACCCCTTCTCTCCTAAAAAGAGGATGTCAGGGGTTCGAACCTCGGAGGAGGTATAGTGTGTGGGTAACTATTTTAACTTCCAAAAAAAAGAACTTAATCAATAATTTTAATTAAATTTTTGATTTTAAGGGTTATAATTTTTTTTAAAAAAAATTTATTTTGAGAAAAGTCACTATACAACTTAGTCAACAATATTAATTACATATATTTAAAAAATAGAGTTTTGAGCAAGAGTTTTAACTAATTGTTGGTCATTTATTTTATACAATAAAACAAAATTTGAAGAAAGAGTGAACACAGGGAAAAAAAAAAACAAAAAAGAACTAGCGTTGAGAGATAATGCAAGAACAAAAAGAAAGAAAAGAAGCAGCGAGGTGAGAGAACACAAGGAAAAAAAAAAAAAAACGAAAAAGAAAGAAAGAAGCAGGGAGGAGAGGGGAAGAGAGAGAGAGAGAGAGAGAGAGAGAGAGAGAGGAAAGAGAAAAAAAGGTTTAAAAAAATGAAAAAGATAAAAGCGAAGGGAAGTGGTAGAAAACAGAGGAGATGCAAGAGAGAGAAATGGAGAAGAAAGAAAAGAGGTTTTGTTTGAGTGGGTTAAGATGTGTATTCACTCTTAACCTATCATTGATTATTAAATTCTATGGATACCCACTTTTTATCAATTATTATTCGGTCACTTAAATTTGGATATTCAAATAATTTAATTTTAGTGGGCGGATTTGAACTTAAATGGAGACCCCTAGTTTTAACACATTCTAGATCATTTAAGAAAAATGATACTTCTTCTATCCCAAAATAAGTGTCATACTTGCAGTGGCGGATCCAAAGGGGGGCTTGGGTGGGCTTGAGCCATTCCCCAAAATTTTATTTTATTTTATTTTATTTTTGAGTATAGGTATATTTGTATATTTAGTCCAATGTTAAAAAAAAAAAAGTAGTAGTAGTAGTATTAGCTCCCCCAATTTTAACCCATCCAATCTTGCCGAATATTTAAGCCACAACTTTAAAACAGAGGCCCAACCAAATAGGCCCAAGCTAAACAAACCCTAAATAATTACTAAGCCAAAGCAAAGAGAACTCCTAAATTTCTAATCTTGCACAAATCAGAGAGCTCACTCTTTCTCTTCCTCTAAAGTCTAATCCTATTTCCTTTAAAATTTTTCAATTCTTTAATCTTTCATCTCCAATTCTCCCTTGTTTAATATTAGCCCCCCTATTAACAATTTCTGAATTCGCCCTTACATACTTTCTTTTTTTTGTTTGACTCAAAATAAGTGTCAACTTTCTTTTTTCAAACAATATATATTTAACATCTTTTCATATATGTCCTTTAAATTTTAAATTTCAAACTTGTATATTCAAAATTTAAAAGGACAATTTAGTAACTTTTTAGGGAGACAATGTATTTCCTACATGTTCCCTTAAAAATTACTACTCCCCAAAAGTAACACTTAAATTGGAACAAAGGGAGTTAAAGATTTTGTATATGTGTTGAAATTAAGAAATATCTTCACGTGGTAATCCTATTTTCTTTGTTGTATTTTTTAGATTTGGAGTGTGAGCAATATTGTATGTGCTGTTTGCAAGAACTTAAATAAAAAAAAAAAAAAATGATAAATCACCACAATTTTTTTTTTTTTTTTGGTCATGGCAATGGTTAGAGAATTAGTCATTAATAATTAGTAATTAGTAATTAGTAATTAGTGGCGATAGGGGAGGCTGGGAATTTGAATCTGAGAAGAAGAGGTAAAATTTTTGATATTGTACCACTCAGAAAATATCGTCGTCACACCTACATCACCACAATTCACATCGCGTGGATCTTTAATACCATTTTTCTTAATTATTAGCGGGACACAATTCGCTCGGAACAGCCGATCTCTGGACCATAATAGTGGGGAGTCCAGTGCATTCGCATTATTTGATGTTGGGACAAAAGTAGTACAAAATTATTGAAAATGATAGACTTGAAATGTTCTCATAATTGACCTAACAAAATTGTTTATCAGAAATGAGTATAATTGTATTTTGTTAACAACTAAATTACATTACCTCTAGATTGTAGATAAATTTTATATTCATGAAACATTTAAGATTTATTACTTTAATCTCTTTTATAAATTAAAAAAATGATAGTCTTTCAAAAAAATTTAAAATAGATATTCTGTTAATGGGAGGGTGGGCCCATCCACAATTCACGTCCCTGAATCTTCACTTTTCACTAGTGTTTTTCTTTCAAAATTTTTAGGTGTTTAATACTTTTTTATTATATTAATGAGAGTAAAATTTTAAATTTAGTTTTATTAAAAATAAAATAATATTTTGTAATTAGTGCACTTGTATAATTAAAAAGAATAATTTAAAAATATTATAAAAAATATTACATCTATTTTTTAAATAAGACATTTTATTTTAAAATAAAAAGATAGACTAAGAATTTTGGAACAAAAAGAAGTACGTTTTAGAGAGATATGATTCGCATGAAACAGCCGAGCTCTGGGCCATCGTCAGCTTTGTGTCACGAAGTGATTCCTAAGACGCTTGGAGGATGGAAGACACGCATGCTGGTTGGCAAAGAGCAGAGTTTGACTGGGAATGGTTCCAGGGAAGGGGCGTGCAGGACCACAGGATGGTACCTCTTCAGAGTTCAGGCAGGTCGACTCGGTTCAGTTCGAGGTGCTTCTCGCTGGTCGTGGACTTGACTATGAAGAAGGGAGTTGGCCATCCCTGCACAAACTGGTCGGGAGCTGGAGCCGTTCCCTTGACGAGGCCATGGCAGGCCGAAACCAGTCAGCATGTATCCTTGGGAGGGCAGGTCGTGGTGGCTGACCAGGGCGCTTGCGCGAGCAGAAGCAACGCCTTGGTGCCGCACGGGCCGTGCCGCTGCGCCGAATCTCTAGGCCCGTGACAAATGGTATCAGAGCAGGACTTGGGGTAAAGCACGGTGGGGTGCCCCCTTGTCGGTCCGGGAGGGGTAAGAGAATGAAGACGGTGCATTGAAGTTGCGTCGATGTGGAGGAATCAATGCAGTTGGGGGGGAGAGCCTCCATCTCCCCAGGAAGAGGCGTCCGTTGAAGTTGCGCATTGAAGGGCCGGAGGGCCGCGCGCACCAAAGTTCGTGCTTAGTCCTTGGGTGATGCAAACCATGGTGAAGGGCGAGCATCAAGTCGGCAGAAGGCCATTGCTTGCTCGGGATACCGCGGAGGCGGCATGACGGAGAAGAGTCACGTCCTTGAGGAGTGGACGTCCCCTTGGTCCGAGGCCTATCATTGGGCGAGTGCAGTGCAGGGAACTGCACAAGGAAGCGATGGTGGGAAGGTGAGCATACCGCATGGAGGCAGACTTTGGAAGGGAGTGGACGCAGTAGTGAAGCGCCGCACTGCGACGAGGACGTCGCAGGATTTGGGTGGGGGAGAATGTCACGAAGTGATTCCTAAGACGCTTGGAGGATGGAAGACACGCATGCTGGTTGGCAAAGAGCAGAGTTTGACTGGGAATGGTTCCAGGGAAGGGGCGTGCAGGACCACAGGATGGTACCTCTTCAGAGTTCAGGCAGGTCGACTCGGTTCAGTTCGAGGTGCTTCTCGCTGGTCGTGGACTTGACTATGAAGAAGGGAGTTGGCCATCCCTGCACAAACTGGTCGGGAGCTGGAGCCGTTCCCCTGACGAGGCCATGGCAGGCCGAAACCAGTCAGCATGTATCCTTGGGAGGGCAGGTCGTGGTGGCTGACCAGGGCGCTTGCGCGAGCAGAAGCAACGCCTTGGTGCCGCACGGGCCGTGCCGCTGCGCCAAATCTCTAGGCCCGTGACATTTGGCACACCACCACAGTACATGCTAAGTTGGAGTCCAGTGAATTCATGTATGACTTTTATGACACGTGGGGACAAAACTAGTACAAAATTATTGAAGATGGGACTTGAAATGTTCTCATAATTGACCTAACAGAAGTATAATTGTTTTTTTCTTAATAACTATGAAATGTGAATATGTTGCTTAGATTGGATATATATATATATATATAGAGAGAGAGAGAGAGAGAGAGAGAGAAAAAAACAATTATACTTTTGTTAGGTCAGTTATGAGAACTCCCATTATATATATATATATATATATATATATATATATTGCTTAGATGAAAATTACGTTATTTTTTAGTTAGGTCCTAATTTCCTACGAACTGCATATGCCTAACATATAGGAACATATTCAAGCTATATGAATATATTATGTTTTTTTTTGCTTTGGTTGGACTGATAAGTGAATATCTCATGGGTCTATAGATGAAGGAAGCTTGAATTGTAGGATCGAATTGAAGGATCATCACTTGATTTTATAGTTTAAAAAATAAAAATAATAAATAAAAATATTAAGCATTGGAGCACATCTCATCGCAAGCAAATAATAAATTAAATTCGTATTCAATTAATCTCACACAACAAACTTGTGAGCCTTTTTATCCTTCTATTTATTTCTTTTTTGTATTGAAGATCATCAATATTCGTAAAGTTTTCTTCGTCTCTCATATAGGCCGATAAACTAATCAGATTTGGTAGGTGAAATCTGATCCAAATCGGATACGAGTTCTATTAAATCTAATATTCTGATGAATTATATATGATTAAATTCATATCTTATTTGTTACTAATCCGATATTGAATCTGATAATCAAATCCAAAAAGAATATAAATTTATTTCAAAAAGAATATAACTTTATTTAAAAAAAAGTTAATATCAAAAGAGATTAGTAAACAATGATTAGGAAAAAAAAAAGAGGAGAAGTTGGAGAAAGAAAAAGAAAATGCAAATAAAAAATATTAGAAACGTAGGTATTTGAATATTTAAAATAATGTTATAATATATAATTTTTATATGGAATGGGATTGTTATGGGATCGAATTGACTATAATTCATATTGAATTTGGATCACTAATGAGTTATCCGATTAAATATTTTAATTTATATTTAAAATATTTGTTTGAATTCAAATTAAATTCGGACAAAAAGCAATGATTTATCAATCAAAACATAAATAGAAAAGTGTTCTAATATTACTACATGTTAGGGAAAAAACAAGGCTTTTTGTGATTGATGAGTTGTGAACAATACAAAATATATATGTAGGCATATATATATATATATATCTTTATATATATATATAGAAAGAGATATTTAAGCACGAGATAAATACACTAGATACCTTACTAATTAAGATAAATTACACTGACAATTCCTCATATTTAGTCAAATATCACATTGAAACATGCTTCAAAAATTACTATTACTTAGGTCCAATTTTACTTTTCCGTCACGGACATTATTAAAATTATGTGAAAAGACAAATTTGCCCTTAATTTTGTAATACTTTTTATTCTAAAATATTAGTAATCTAAAAGGACATAATTGTTCTCATTAATTACTCTGAAATCCCAAATATATATAAGTACAGATGCTCCCTTATGAACCTATTCGCATCTTACCCGCAAACGACTTCGCAAATCAAGCCCTAAATCATCCATGCACCCTGCCGTCGTTACTTCAATGTCGCCCTAAACCACTCCACCACTTCCGTTGCTGTGAACCACACCACCGCTTCCACCCCGCCACAACCTTGCCGCTGCTGATTCAGTGTGGTTATTTCACCTGAATACAGAGTGGTTGTTGTCGTGGGGAGGGTAGTGGTGGCTGCTCCGGGGTTCATTCGCCCAATACAGAGCTATGGTGGCGGTGGTTGTGGGGCATCTATTGTGGTAGTGGTGGTGCCGCCAATTATTATGGTGGTGATGGGGTGATTGCCTATTGGGGTGGTGGTTCTAGTGCGTTCTGGTTCTACGTTGATTAATTTATGGGTGGTGATGTCTATGAGAAATTATATAATACACACACACGGTGATTAGTTTTAAGGTGGATTTTTATTTTAACACATAAATTCACTTCATTTTATTTTATTTTATTTTATTTTATTTTATTTTTTTTTTTTTGTGTTTTAGTTTATTGTAATTGTACACACACACACTCATATATACAAAGTGAAAGGGTATTTGATCTAGTCATTTCAATCATTTTAGTTAGTCAACACAGAGTCAAAATGGTATTAATATCATTTTACAAGTAAAAACTGCTCTGGCATCACTGAAAAGTAACATTTGGGGTGTGTTAAAAACGGACCAAAAAGAAAAAAAAAATAATGATACTGAAAAAAAAAAATTATGATAATATAATAATAATAGTATTAAAGAACACTAAAGAATACTTAGAAAAACAACTAATTTATAAAGAAAATTTGAAATTTAATAGAATAATAACAAGTTTTGAACTAAATCTCATTGCTTTTTTTTCCCTTTTCACTAGCTCTTTTTTTTTTTTTTTTTTTTTTTTTTTTTTCCAAGGAAAACAAAAATTTCTATTTAGTGGTTAGACGTGATTTTGAGAGGTGAAGAGATTTCAATTATTATTATTATTATTTTTTGGTTAATACTTATCTTTTATTGTTGACATTAGTGGTATTTGGAAATATTAAATTTGAAAGCAACAAATAGGGATAGTGATTTTGTATTAAAATGAAAGTATATAAGTAAGTTTGGGATGTGAGAATTAGATTAAGAGTAATAGTACTGTGAAGTCTCCCTCATGAGATTTCTCATGAGTTTTTTTTATTTTTTATTTTTTATTTTTTTGTCATGATCATGTACAAATATTGAGACACGAACTTAACCATTTAAAAGAGAATTAAACGAGGATTATATACTTAAAATTTCGTAGATCACACGAGTCTGTAAAAAAATTACACTCTTTTTGTTATTTAAATTATATTATTAACTTTGACCAATTCGTGTATATATTGTTAAGAAATTTTTTTAATGAAATTTTAACTATACAATAGTCGTTTCGTCCTCATTCAAATAGTTGAGTTTGTGCTACAGTATTTGGACATAATCATGATAAAAAAAGAAAGAACACGTAAGAAATCTCATGAGGGAGACCTTATTGTATCATTACTCATTAGATTAAATTAGTTGGTCAATATAGAAGTCACAGTGAATTTTCTTACCCCATCAGAAGTAATAGATCACTGCCATGTATATATATATATATATAAAACCAAAAAAATTATCTCGCTTTAAATTCTAAATTTAATATATATATTTTTTCATGGCTGTGAAGAGATTAATTTAAACGACTGCACAACCGAGGAGAATGAGAAGTAAGCTCACCACATGGATTTTGGTTTTTGACCTCAGAAACGGTCCCTTTGTCCCTCCAATCGACCGAGTCCGGCAAGCTATCACCGATGAGGGGAGCGTAGCGGTCACTCGTCTTGGGAGCCGACACCCTCCGCTTGGTCCCCAAGTACATGGACTGGTACTCCTCGTTGGTCAGATCGGCGAACCGGTTCAGACCCAGCTTGTAGGTCCGGTTCTTGACGGCGTTGTGGTCATCGATGAACCGGAGGTTGTCCTTGAAGATCTGAAACCTCCTCTCTTTCTCACCCAAGGCATTGTAAACCTTTCCGTGCTTTACAAGCCACGACTCGAACATGGTCATCACTTGGTCGTTGGTCCTCCAACTCGCTTCGTCGATGTGCATTGAGTCATAGCTGATGATCGACATGTCCAATGCCGACGACAAGGCGAAGAACATGAAGAGAAGGACCACCATGGATACAAGTGACCTATACCAACCCATGTTTGTTAGAGAGAAATATGAAGTGATGAGTGAGTGTGGAATTGTGAAAAAAAGGATGGAGTCGAGGTTGTCTTATAAAGGCAAATGAGTGGAGAATGGGTCCCATGGGTATTACATCAAATAATTAACAGGTGGACAATGGATATCAAATAATTAAGTAGTCGACAATGGATATCAAATAATTAACTAGTGGACGACAAATAAATATCCGTTATATCGTTGGTTCGCTTTCCCCGTCCACGTCTTGGAAAAATGAAATCATTCTTGCAAAGTAGTTGGTTAATCAAGTGACTCAAGTGAATAATGAAATCATTAATAGTAGAAAAATCTAGAGTCATCTTAAAAATAAACTTAAATACAATTAAGGGTAAAGTGCAAAAAATCCACTTCAACTATTGGCCATGAAGCAGAAAATCCCCCTGATCTATTAATTTGACATATAATCCCCTTGAACTAATCAATTTGGCGCAATTAACCTCGTCCGGGGACAAGTCCGTTGAATTTGACCATAAAGACGCACATGATCGGTCACGTGACTATTCAAATTTTTTTAAATGACCATACAACCCTTTAAGCTAAGTGAATCAAATGACACATGTACCCTTATTATTGTCTAATCCGGGATAGTGCTTGAGCCGCAACCAAACAAGGCCTAAGTAAAGCCCAAACACAATATACAATCCAAAAAAAAAAAAATCCAAAATCGAGTAAGAGGGGTCGGCTGTGAAGAGCTCGTCTGCGATGGAGGGGTCGGCTGTGAAGAGGTCGTCCGGTGAGGGTTTGACCGGCGATGGAAGAAGAAGCTTGGCTGTAAGATTGCGACGCAGCGCGGCTCGGCGGGATGGAACGGCTGTGAAGAGCTCGTCTACGATGGAGGGGTCGACTGTGAAGAGCTCGTCCAATGAGGGTTTGACCGGCGATGGAAGAAGAAGCTCGGTTGTGAGATTGCGGCGCGGTGGGCTTGGCGGGATGGAACGGCAGTGGCCACCACTGCAGTAGATCGATTTATTGAGGACGATTTGGTAACCACCTGCAAATCAAGACCGGTGGTCGTGTTGTGCATTCTTGGCTTTCAATTTGGGGTTTGGATTTGGTGTTCGTAGTGGTGGTTGTCTCACAGTGTAGATCAAAACCTACAGCCACTGCCACCTCTTCGGCTTCAGCTTCTGCTTCACTGCCGCAGGAATAACCAGTGGCTCTATCGCCGAATGAACCCATTTTGTTGCATATTTGATTGAATAATTTTTCTTAATCGGGTGGAATCAATTGCAGGACCTTTGTTTGCACCATCACAACAGAGATCGTGAGGAAAAGGCGAAACCGCTTGTTGGCTTTTCGAACGTCTTGAATGCTCCTGCCCAGAAGCCGTGTTGGGACGACTGGGAGTTTCCGGCGGAGAGGTTGAATTGATTTTAGAAACCGGCAAGCACTGAATCACACCAGTCGTCGTTCTTGTCTCGCGACCACCATTGATGCCGTTGAAGCTTCGTGATTAAGGTGCTCGACCCATAGTGCATATACGACTCAGTTAATGAAATGGGTTGCCGTCGCCGGAGAAGCTGCATGGCACGGTTCAGCGTGGGTATGTCTGTCATTGATTGAAGCTCCCCTCCATGTCACCATGGTCATAAGGTTTCTTTTATAAGGGTAAAATTGTCTTTTACTATTTTCGTTTACACCAATTGGTCGGAGATGTTACATTGGGGGTCAATTGCACCAAATTCAATAGTTCAAGGGGGCAAATTGTAGTTCAGGGGGGTTAATTGCACATGGCCAATAGTTGAAGGGGGTTTTTTGCACTTTACCCTGCAATTAATGACAAAGATAAAAATTTAACGATTTATAAAATTGGAATTCCCTGCTACGGCTATCAATAGTAACACTAACTGGTTGACTTACAACTGCGTTTTCCAATGGCGCCTCAATATATGGAGGAACATTTTCGTAAAGATCAATTGAGACAACCTTGACATTTTTCTGCACATGATCAATGAGTAAATTAAGAATGAGATATATTCTTGTTTGTTTTTATTTTCATTGTTTGATCAATTTGTTCCTATTTAAAGAAGTCAATACTAATCTTGTTCTAGTCGCACACTCCTTGTTTAGCTGTGTAAAGGTAATTCTTGCCGGTATAAATTCCACCACTGTTAATGAAGAACTCAAATGCATGATGTATCACAGTCCACCCACTCTTGCTCGGAGAGGGAGATCAAATCTCCGGTCACTATCTTGTTTATCCCCTCAACAATAGCAATGGATGAGAACGCCTAGCAACTCCCTGCATTTTAAATTGCACAATCACACTTGTATACTGAGGGGTTAAATTTTAATACACATCTAAGATCATTTAAGAAAGATGATAAAAGATTTCTTATGTGTAAAAATTAAGAAATCATCCGATCCCTTTATTTTTTTTTCTTTTTAATTAAGGTTGGTGTTTAATACCTGCTGGCAGACATTTCAACAATTCATATTTGGCATGATCCATTAGTCTTCGTTTGGTTAGATAGAAACAATGAGAATCCAAAAATAATAATAATAATAATTAAATAGAAAATTTTATAACGTTTTTGGAGTTTGCTTAGATAGAAAAGGAAAAGATCTTGAAAATTATGATTCCTGCAACCCTCAATTTTTTCCCAAAACGTTTCCTGCACAAAACAGGGTTTTTTTTTTTTTTTTTTGGGTAAATAGGTTAAAGCATGTCTTATTATTTTGTGTTCCGATTTTACCCAACAATTTCATTGATATTTGGAGACTGACAATATTATTTTACTGCTATTCAAAGAATTAATAACAGTCCAATAATAACTTCTCATTTATAAGATTTGAATTAACCTGACTTCCATTCTTAGTTGTTTTCAATCATATTTGGAAATTAAATAAATATTAGTTTGCAAAGTCTAATAATTATTATTCTTATTTTTTTTTTTTTGGTGAAAGGGTGGGTTAGCTTGTATATGAATTTTTTTATAAAGTCCATAAAATGGACATAACAAGCCTATAGGTCACAGGAGACTAGAGGCATCACAAAACTTACAATAATAACCAAGCAAATGACCAAGCAATTGCTGAACAAAAATACACTCCAAACCAGTCTCATCCACACATTGAGTGACATGTCGACATTGGAGGCTAATTAATTAAAAACAAAGATTGTCCATTAGCTAGCTATAGAACAACCCTGCATAAAGATCGAGTTGTTGTAGATCATCCATTGATGAGAAGTTTATCATCTCGATCATCACCACTCTTCAACTTAATGTAGGTATATCTGGCTGTGATGCAATTTTTGATGAGACATACAATGTGTAAAGCAGTGGATGACTTGTTCCTGAATGCCCTTGAATTCCTCTATTGCCAAATGCAGTAGATTGCAGCAGAAAGAAGCAATTTTCGTGAAAGAAAGTGACCATCTGACCATGTAGTTGAGCACCAATCAATGAATTCATTCCAGCTGCAAGACCTAAAATTGAAGTTGAAACCTGTTGCATGCGGAATGAAATCCCATATGATGCCCACTAAATTTACACATAAAGAACAAGTGATCAATTTATTCCAATTAAGAGAGGCAAAGATAACAAGCATAATTGTAATGCTTGTTTTTCATTGGCTTAGTATCTGTGGGTGTCACTAATAAAGGCTGACATGGCAAGTTGATAAGTCAATACGACCCTAACCAAATTCCCCGTGGCAATTTGAAAAGTCAAAAGTCTCGAAGGACCAACCTTTGAGCACATTAAGCCCTTGCATCGCTCCAGGTCCATAAAGCCCCAAGGGTCTAACCCTTGAGCACATTAAGCCCTGGTATCGCCCCAGGCCCATCAAGTCTCGACGGATCAACCCTCGAGTACCTTAAGTCCTGGCATTGCTCTAGGCCCATCAAGCCTCAAGGGAGCAACCCTCGAGCACATTAAGCCCTGGCATCGCTCCAGGCCCATCAAGTTTTATCGGACCAACCCTCGAGCACCTTAAGCCCTAGCATCACTCTAGGCCATCAAGCCTCGAGGGAGCAACCCTCAAGCGCCTCGAGGGAGCTCCTTCGAGGGAGCAACTCTCAAGCACATTAAGCCTTGGCATTGCTCCAGTCCCATAAAGTTTTGAGGGTCCAACCCTCGAGCGCATTAAGCCCTGGCATCGCCCTAGGCTCATCAAGCCTCGACGGACCAACCCTCAAGCACCTTAAGCCCTGTCATCGCTTCAGGCCCATCAAGTCTCGAGGAACCAACTCCTGAGCACCTTAAGCCCTGGCATCTCTCCAAGCCCATTCAGCCTCGAGAAACCAACCCTCGAGCACCCCAAGCCCTGGTATCACTCCAGGCCCATCAAGTCTCGACGAGCCAACTCTCGAGCGCCTCAAGCCCTGATACCGCTCTAGGCATATCAAGTCTCGAAGGACCAACTCTCGAGCATCCCAAGCCTTAGCATTATGCTAGGCAATATTGCATCAATGGACTGAAGCCCTAGAGGGCTCGCCATCAAGATGTTATAGATTCATATATAGCACGAAACGAAGGTAGGGTCTTCGCAACTATAAGGAATCTAATTTTGGGAAGCTTAGGAGGATCTTGGATTGGTGGATGAGAAGTCAAGAAGTGCCTTTACTTTCAGTAAGGCACAATTAATAAGATAATGGGATTATATACATTATGACAGCAAACTTTAAAATCACATTTAATGCTGCGTCATGCTTGACCAACCGGCCTCCACGCAACATTTAATGTCCTTGATTAAGGGAGAAATGACATGGCAACATAGTGCAAGATTTGATGAGAGGATTAGACCTTTCAGACACTTAAGCCTCCAGGATTACCCACGTAATCCTGACTAAGAGCAACGCATGCGAGAAACCATGCACGGAAGGGACCATTGGATAACAACCAATGGAATCCGGGCCTATAAATAGTACTATCCCATGAAGGAATAACCAACCCAGAAGGGGAAGTTGTTATAAGATATTGTATACTTGCCCTACTACTATTTTAATCTTGATGATTGGTCTTCTTCTCCTTCTCCTACACTGAGCACCTCCTTTGTTTTCTTCATATTTGTATTTTTGATATCACTGTTGCATACTTATTTATTGTTTGATAAAAAACGAACCCCTACAGTATCTAATGTATACAATCAACTTTTAAGTGCCAACCATGAGATGTGAGCATACTTTGGGATGTGGTGCTTGAACCAAATTATATGAGGCCAAGAGAATAGTAGAGAAGGAAGAGTGAAGTAACTCAAAGTGTGACCCAGTAAGAACCGCTTTGAGGCACAAGGCAACCATTTAATCACATCTTGTATATTAAAAATAACTTTCATGTTTTTTTCTTTCAAAATATGCCAGATATATTAAAAATATTTACGCATACAAATAAATATATGAGGTGAGAGGTCAATGGGCGTTAACCTTGAATCAAACATTTACCAAAGAAGATATAAAAAGGAAAATGGATGAACCAACATTATATTTAGAAATTAAACAGAAAGCATTAACATTAATCCAGTACTCTTGCATTCTTATTGATGGTCAAATCTTATAGGAAGAGGCCATCCCAACACAACAATACATTATTGGAGCAGAGATAACTCGAAGGAAAAGGAAAAAGAACTCTTATTGCAACGCAGAAATACAAAACCACCATACACATATATATATTCATCCAATTTGCAATATAATAATAGTAAGCAGATCATCAAGCATCCTTGAAGTCTTTCAACCATTGTTCTCTTTCCCCATCCACTGCTGCTCTTTCCACTCCCAAATGCCCGCTAAGATGGGGTATGGTTGGGAGGATTCTGGTCATTCTTGATGGGGTAAGAAGCTTGCATCGTGATTCCACATTTGCCTGTTGGTGAATTAGCTATGTTACGCTCCATCCTTATGTAGCCCTTCTCTCCCCATCCTGTGCCCCAAGAGTTCCTCACAATCCAATAGTCCACGCCATTTTCTGTCCCGTATCCAACTACAGCCACACCATGGCTTAGCTCTGTCCCACAACTTGCCGTGAATACACCCTGAAGAAAAATGTAGCATCATATGTCTTAATGTTATTAGAAAAGAAACTAAACTACAATGATCGACCAAGGTAGAAATTTACGGATTCGTAGAAGTTGAATTCGGCCGCACTGGCATCAATAGCAACACTCACTGGTTGACTTGCCACTGCCTTTTGCAATGCCAACTCGTTATTTGGAGGAAGGTCTTCATAACTATCAATTGAGACAACCTTTTCATTTTTCTGCACATGAATAATAATGAGAGTAAAGAATGAGACTGATATATATATATATATTCTTGTTTGTTTCATTATTAATTAAACAAGTCTCAATAATACTAATTACCTTGTTGTGGTCGCACACTCCTTGTGTACCATTATAAGGGTAATTCTTCTCGGTATTAATTCCACCATTCTCAATGATGAACCCAAATGCATAGTCCGAGGTACCCCCATCACATCCGTTAGAACCTACTGTATCACAGTCCACCAACTCTTGCTCCGAGAGTGAGATCAAATCTCCGGTCACTATCTTGTTTATCCCCTCAACAGCCGCAATAGATGAGAACGCCCAACAACTCCCTTCATTTTAAATTTACATTATTCAACATATGCTTAATTAAATGTTAATTCAAAGGACGTACAACTAAAAACAAATGTCAAGACAAGGTAAAGTAAAAATAATCACGCGTACGCATACCACACACGTGTATACCCAAGGGTTAAAATTTACTAATACACATCCAACATCATTTAAGAAAAATGATAAAAGATTTCGTATATGTGTTAAAATGAAGAAATCATCTTTGAAATTATTATTATTTTTTTTATTTTTTATTTTTTTAAGGTTGGTGTTCTTTTCAAAAAAAATTAAAACATGATGCGCGGGTCTCACGATAACTTGCGTTGACGTATCCCAAGGGCCCGAGTCCTGCACTAATTTTTTTTTTTTGAAAGATAGGATGTACAATTTTTCTTATAAATACGTGTATATATAAATATATATATTAAGAATAGAAGAGTTTTGATTTATGAAAAAAAAAGAATAGAAGAGTTTTAATTGGGGGTGGTAATTGAATGGGTTTAGAATGAGTTGGGTATGAATAGATAGGATATGAATGGGTCAGTAATCTATTCTCAACTTATTAATTGTAGATCATAAACTAATAAAGGCTCAAATGGGTAAGTTAAAACAGGATAACTAGAAAAAAAAAAAATGAAAAAAAAACGAAAAAAGAGTGCAGAGAGAGAGAGAGAGAGAGTTATCACATGGAAAAAAAAAAACGAAAAAAAAAAAAAAAAAAAGAACAATAAAAAAAAAACAAGAAAGAAAAGAACGAGGTGAGAGAAGCAGGGAAGAAAAAACAAAGAAAGAAAAGAAGAGGGGAGGACAGGGAAGAGAGAAAAAAAAGGGAGGAGAGAGAAAAAAAATAAAAGATAAGGGGAGCGGTAGAAAAGGGAGGAGATGGAAGAGGGAGAAATGGAGAAAAAGAAAAGAAAGTTTTGTTTGAGTGTGTTAAGATATGTATTCATTCTTAACTCATTATTTACTATTAAATTATATGAGTATTCAATTTTTACTTATTATTATCTGCTCACTTAAATTTGGGTGCTCAAATAATTTAATTTTAGTGAGCGAGTTTGAACGATTTAATGGGTTTGGACTTAAATTGACACCCCTAATTTTAACACATCTGAAATTATTTATGAAAAATAATAAAAGATTTCGTGTATGTGTTGAAATTAAGAAATATTTTCAGAGGGTAATCTTATTTTCTTTGTTGTTTTTTTGGAGGTTGGGTTTGAGCAATATTGTATGTGTTTGTTTGCATGGACTTTTAAAATAAAAAATAAAAAAATGATACATACCGTTCGGATAACATCGCTACACACCTACATCACGGCAAGTCACATCATGAACATCTTTAGAGCATCTCCAATGGGGCTACCATATGGGCTGCCAATTCAAAATATAGCAAGTTGGCTTAAAAATAGGCTTTCCAATGCGATGCTATTTTTTAACTTTGCTATTTCTTATGCAAATTGTAACACAAGAAATAACAGTAGCTATTTCAGATAGAGAGAGAGAGAGAGAGAGAGAGAGAGAGAGAGGGGGGGGGGGGGGGGGGCATAATAAATTTCACCAAATAGGATTTAGTTTGCAAAACAAGAATTACAGACCTTGATTACAGAAGGGGGAAAAAAAAAAAAAAAAAAATTATTACAGACCTTGATCATAAAATAGAGTTACAAAAAAAAAAAAAAAAAAAAAAAAATTAAAACAAAACCCATACATACAAGTTAGCAGTTGCAGAGAAAGAGAGGGGAGCAAGCTTGAGACAGCGGCTGAAGCTTGGGAACGCGAATCCGAACTAGAACAGCGGGATATGGAAACTGAAAGATATGGGTTTTGATTTTTTTGAACAATCTGAAATGATATGGCCGATATGGGTTTTGATATAGCTAATAGGTTTTGGATTTTTGATTCTTGCAAACAGTAAGATAAAGTTAAATATATGGGTTTTGAACGTCTGATTCTTGTAGATTTTGTAGTTTGCGGTGGCAGAGAGAGAGAGAGAGAGAGAGAGAGGGGCAATTTCAGAGTTGTGAACAAGTGAATAGAGATGGAGGCGATTTGTGAGGCTGAAATGATTTGCCCTAAAACTATATATAGTTGGGAGGCTGAAATGATTTGTCCTAAATATATATATATATTTTTAATATTAATATAATCAAATATATATAATATACATATATATATATATATATATAATATATATAAATTTCCAAAAAAGATAAAAATATTATATAAAAAAAATTATATAATAATATAATCAAATATATAAATTTATACATACATATATAGATATATATATTTGGGTCCTTTTTTTATCATATATTTTAGATTTTTGATTCTTTTTAATTAAGTTTAATTTTAGTTTCCTTCTAATGTTTATAATTTGACTTGGAATGTGGTAGTTGAAAAAGAATAGTGGTTGTGTTAAAAAATAGCATTTTCATCATTGGAGCAGAATTGCTAAAATGTAGTATTTTAACATTGTAGCACAGTCAAAATATAAATTTGACATCCAAATTTGACATTTTAGTATTAGAGGTGCTCTCAGTGCCATTATTCTTAATTATTAGTGGGACACAATTCGCACGAAACAGCCGAGCTCTGGCCCATAATAGTGGGGAGTCCAGTGCATTTATGCATGAATTATTTGATGTGGGGACAAAACTCGTACAAAATTGTTGAAGATGATAGACTTCAAATGTTCTCATAATTGACCTAACAAAATTGTCTCTCGAAATTGAGTATAATTGTATTTTGTTAAGAACTATGGATAAATTACATACAAATTTTACATGAATAGAACATTTGAGATTTATTATTTTAATTTTTTCAATAAATATAAAATGTCATAATAATATTTTAATAAAACAATCTTATATATTAGTAAACATATGAATCAAATAATTTAATTAAGATATATATATATATATATATATAAACTGTTTGGTATGTTTAAGTTGGAAACAAATTATTTTAAGTCCGGGTATTAAGATATATAATTAAACATACCAAACAGTTTTATATATATATATATAAAACTGTTTGGTATGTTTAAGTTGGAAACAAACTATTTTAAGTCCGGGTATTAAAATATCAATAATATCATTATATATATATATATAAAACTGTTTGGTATGTTTAAGTTGGAAACAAACTATTTTAAGTCCGGGTATTAAAATATCAATAATATCATTTTCTTTTCTTTTTTTTATTTTTACTTTCCATCACTTGATTTTATAGTTTAAAATATATATATATATATATATATATATATATATATATATATATATATGATATGTGTTTTTTTTAAGCTTGGTGTTCTTTTCCAGTTTTTTAAAAAATATGAATTCTGTTAATGGATGTGTGGGTCTCATAATAACTTACGTTGACATCCTCCAAGGATCAGAGTCCACGGGTTGGACCATTTTTTTTTTTTTTTTTGAAAGATAGGATATACCATTTTTCTTAAAATACGTGTGTATATATATATAAATTGATATATTAAGAACAGATGAGTTTTAATACATCCGGATCATTTAAGAAAAATGATAATTTTTTTTTTTGTATATGTGTTGAAATTAAGAAATAGTTTTGATGATCCAATTTTCTTTGTCGTTTTTTTAGAGGTTGGTGTGAGTAATATTATATGTGTTGTTTGCGTGAACTTTTAAAAATAAAAAAAAAAATTAAAAAATGATACTTCTTTTAAAAAAATTTAAAATAGATATTCTGTTAAAGGGCGCGTGGGCCCATCCACAATTCACATCCCCTGAATCTTCAGTAGCATTTTTCTTCCAAAATTTTTGGGTGTCTAATAATTTTTTTTTAAAAATAAAATAATATTTTGTAATTAGTGTACTTGTGTAATTAAAAAGGATATTTTGAAGATATTATAAAAAATATTACATCTATATTTTAAATGAGACATTTTATTTTGAGATATTAAATAAAAAGATAGAATAAAAATTTTGGAACAAAAAGAAGTAATTTTTAGAGAGACATAATTGGCATGAAACAGCCGAGCTCTTGGCCATCGTCAGCTTTGCCACACCACCACACGGTACATACTAAGTTGGAGTCCAGTGAAATGTTCTCATAATTGACCTAACAAAAGTATAATTGTTTTTTTCTTTAATAATAACTATGAAGTGTGACTATGTTGCTTAGATTAATTGAATATATATATATATATATATATATATATTGCTGTTGATGAATATGCCACGTTACCTACTTGTGTGGCACCACCCACTCTAAAAAGGACACACCTGGCCAGAACCTGTCTGGCGTGTCACTAAGAAAGGGACGAGCAATCTCAAGCTACTCGTCTCGTAATTGGATTTATTAGCAAGGAAGGGGTCGCTACCCTTCACTCCCCTTTAGGACGTACCCCTCTCCAGTCGGATGGGTCCCTCCTCCTTTCTTTATCACCACCCGAGCCCCCTTTCTGCAAATGGGACCTCGGGTGCATTCCACCTCCATCGCCTCGAGCCCCTTGGGCTCGAGGAGACCTTGGAAATTGAGATCTCTCCATTATGAAGTCCCCACCTTGAGTCTGAAGGGGACTTGAGAAACACAATCTGCTTGCCACAAACTCGTCCCGCCTTGAATGCGAAGAAACCACGAGGGACAAGTCCGGAGAAGAATCTCACGAGGTCGAGAAGGTAGTACCTCGAGAAGAGTCGTTCCCCATCTTCGAGTAAAGGAGTCTGGGAAAATGTGGACAGTTGGCTGGGACCCAAGGGTTCACCTTCTTCTCTCGGAGGCCAACACAAAAGGGAAAGGATTTTGGTAGCCAAGGTCGAGCTCTAAATAAGTCCAAAGAGATGCATTAATTGCGAAAGACAATTGACGTGACCCACATTAATTAGGAGCACCATTTCCCCTGTAGACTGAAGGGCAAAAGTGCCTCTGCCCACTGGGTAATATCCCATCTGTCAGAAAGAGGAATCCTCGATCCTATAGATAAAAGGAAGTTCACCTCTACGACTGATGGGTATTACCCATTCAAGGGCATTATAAATAGGAGGGGTTAATCAGCCTTAAAGGCAAAGTTAAGAAAGTCTAACAACCAACTACCATGAAGCTCGAGTTTACCTGGGTACAACTGAATCTTTGAGTTCTAAGAGTCCTTTGTGTTGCTTAGGTCCCCACTCGGATACTGATCTCGACACTCTCGGCCTACGTGGAATATTTTCCTCATTTTATAAAGAATCATTATCAACATTTTGGCGATTCCGCTGGGGAGGAGTATTTCACGTTGTCAAGTGTGCAAGATTTCAGCCCGACTCTTCAAGAGGAAGTCTCCCTGGGAGAGGAGTATGATGGGACCGCCAGCAGTGTCCTGGGAGCACGCTACCCGGGAAGAACGATCCTCTTTCCTGAGGCTTTGGTCGATGCCCACAATTCACTCTCATACCGGATGGAGAAACTGGAGGATACCTAGGGCGAAGTAATCGCTCTGCTTCGAGACATCGCTAACAACGGAATACCTTGACGCTCAGCAGACCAGCGCAGCGGGTTCATTTGTGAACTTAACGAAAGTCAGGTGACACCGAATCATCTAGCGCACCGAGTGCATCCGTCATCCTTGGAGGGAAGGCGGTCCGTTAGCTCCCACAGACTGTCGAGTGACGCACCCACCGGGGTCCGACGAGCTCTATTCAACACTCCCTTAGCGGCACCTACCAGGTTGGACGAGCCTGAGTCTGGTTACGGGAGGACCATTCATAGGGACAGAATCCTCGACAACACTCAACGACCATAGGAGCAGGCCCAACATTCACCGTACGTGACCTTGGCGGAGAGTTGTTGCGAAACGAGAGGTCCATACTTTCCCAAGAGGAGGCCCCCGAGCCGTCCTACTCTCAAGCTGTCGCACTCCTTCCATAGTCTCAGGGATATGTTGGGCCAAAATTCAGCAAATTTGACGAAAGGAAGGGTAACTCGCGGGAGCATGTGGTCCGGTTCATAGAGGCATTGGGGCCATTCGAGAATGATCACTTTCTGCGGCTAAAGGAATTCTCCAAGACCCTGACGAATAGAGCCTACAAGTGGTATGTGAACTTGGAGCCAAGATCCCTCAACACGTGGAATCAATTGGTCGTGCTATTTCATACCAAGTTTTTCCAGGCCGAGGAAAGAGTGACTACGTTGTCGCTGACAAAAGAAGTACAAGGCCATGGGGAAGACTTGTTGACGTATGTTCACAGATTCCATGACCGAGCTATGGAGTGTTATGGGATGTATGAAGAAGAAGCCCTGGCCAAAATATGTATACAAGGGATGCAAGAAGGCTACCGTATCCATTTTATTAATCTTAAACTTCCTACCTTTGCAGACCTTATCGAAGCATCCCACAACCTAGTGGGCAACCTCGCTGTTAACACTCATTTTGTGGTAGAAGACGACCATCGAGGAAAGCGGAGGCCTGTAGTCTCAGCTGCTGATGCACCTCCTAATAAGAAAAATGCAGGGCCGTCTCGTACACACCGAGGGAGAAATCTAGATGAAATCCCACCTCCTTTACCATGCACAATGGAAGAGGTCGAGGCTATTCTTAAGAAATGGGTCCAGCATAGAGACATCATGTTGCATGAAGTGGCACATGAGCCAACTCTGGAGGATATGGCTCACCCCCGATTCTGCATGTATCACCGACACACTCGCCACCCTATTATCAATTGTTGGGCCTTGCGGAACACTTTTCACAGGCGAATTGCTAATGGCGAACTTATCCTCCTTCCTCGAGATGTAAGAGAGGAACCTTTCCCCTTGCACGGCAGAGGAGTAGCGATGATGACAACCAGTGGGGTAGGTCTCGAAGAGCTCTCTCTGGATGAGGTCGCTTAAGTCGCACTGGTTGATGAAGGAGATCTGGGTGCATTTTTCTTATTAGAGATGACACCTATTAGAAGCATTCTCCAAGAAATGGCTTTTTCTCCCCTCGCCCAGAAAGAAATTGCTAAGACCCTTTGGCTTGCTGAAACAAGATGACTCAAAGAGGCAGCGTCAGTCGCGTCCTCCCCAATGGTGCAAGGACCATCAGGGATGGCCATAGTTTTCACCGAAGAGGACAAGTACGTGCCCACTCCTCACAACCGACCGTTATATGTTACGGCCTCGCTCAACGGGGTAAAGCTCAAACGGTCATTCCTGGATAATGGCTCCTCACACAACATAATGCCTCTGGAATTCTTTCGGTGAAGTGGACTGCTGCTCGAGAAGCTCGTGCGAAAGCCAACCGAGATTACAAGATTTGGTAGCGACATTTGAGGGACAGAAGGACACGTGACCGTTGAGCTAGCCATCGGCAAGTTCAAGAGCTTGACCAAATTCCATGTTATCGATTTTGATACTTCTTACCATCTCCTTATGGGTCGGAGTTGGATGTACAAGTTTAGAATTGTACCCTCCTGATATCATCGATGCATGAAGGGATTCTGGAATGGAAAACAAGTCATAGTTTGCTGCTCTGAGCGCCTGTTCACCAAAAGAGAATCTCACATGGTGGAGGCGGGATTCTTCGAGGAACTTGAAGATGCGGATGAGCCTTGCCTGTTGGTGGAGATCCCCTTACCAAAATGGGACGAATTCGATCAACAAGAGGGCTATTCAACACAAAAGACGGAGATGATGGCAGAAGCCGGCCAAAAGAGGCCTGCTATTTGCAAGAGGGTGCGTTTGTTCGACGAAAAAATCATTTACCGCTTATGACAGTGTTGGGGGGCCTAACCTCTGGAGAATCCGCGCCCCCGCGCAGACGTATGTGAAGTGCATGATGAGGGACCTAAAGCCGGCCTGATCAAGAAGAACTGGAGGAAATTAATTTGACCACTGATAGCCAGCCTCGAATAACTTATGTGAGTAAAAGGTTGATAGAATGAGAGAAACAACATTGATAGAAGTGCTTAAAGAGTTCAGCGATGTATTCGAATGGATGTACGATGAAATGCCTAGGCTAAATCCTCAGATTGTAGCACACCATCTCAATATACGGCCAGAAGCAAGACCAGTTAAGCAAATATAGAGAAATTTTCGTCCGGAACTTGAGCTACAAATCAAGGAAGAAGTCCAATGACTCCTGCAAGCCGATTTTATCAAACCCATTCAACATCCCACCTGGTTGGCGAATGTTGTCCCGGTGAAAAAGAAGAATGGGAAGATCCAGGTTTGCGTCGATTTCAGGGATCTGAACAAGGCATGCCCCAAGGATGATTTCCCGTTGCCTATAATCGATAATTTGGTTGACTCGACTTCAGAACATGAAATGTTTTCATTCATGGATGGATACAACAGGTACAACCAGATCAGAATGACGATGTGTGACACCGAGAAAACAGCCTTTCGAACTCCTATGGGGAACTTTCATTATACTGTTATGCCATTCAGTTTAAAGAATGCTGGGGCCACTTACCAACATGCCATGACGGCCATCTTCCATGACATGTTGCATAAGAATGTGGAGGACTACGTGGATGACTTGGTAGTGAAATCTCGAGTCAAAAAAGAGCATCTAGTGGACCCAAGAAGAGTTTTTGAACGCTGCCGCAAGTACAAGCTAAAGATTAATCCTCTAAAGTGCGCTTTTGGGGTAGAGGCTGGTCGATTCTTGGGTTTTGTGGTACACCAACATGGTATTGACGTTGAAATGATAAAGTTCGGGCAATTAAGAAGATGCCCCCACCTCGCTCTCTCAAGCAGTTGAAAGGCCTAATAGGCTGAATTTCCTACCTCCGGCGTTTCATCTCGGCTTTGGCTAAGGTAACGCATGCCTTCGGTTCCCTATTGAAAAGCAATGCCGAATTCAGATGGAATGGGGAGCATCAGCAGGCCTTTACCAAGGTAAAAAATCTGTTATCTTTGCCAGTCACTATGATAGTTCCCCAGTAGAGTCGCCAAAATGTTGATAGTGGTTCTTTATAAAATGAGGAAAATATTTCACGTAGGCCAAGAGTGCTGAGATTAGTATCCGGGTGGGGACCCAAGCAACACAAAAGACTCTTACTACATCAGCCGAGTCATTCAAGGCGCATAGGCATGATACTCACCGATCGAACGCCACTGTTTGTCTTTGGCTTTTGCGGCAAAGAAATTTCATCACTACTTTCTTGCACATACCATTCATCTTATCACCAGATGCGACCCATTGAAATATCTACTCTTTCGGCCCGTTATTTCGGGACGGGTAGCACGATGGCTCCTAACTCTTGCCGAGTTCGACATACAGTGCTCTTCGCCCCGTGCCATATTAAGCCAGGCTCTGACAAATTTGATGGCCCAGTTCCCGTCAGGAGGATATGAACCCATAAACGCCGACCTCCCCCATGACTAACTCGAGTCGGCCTATTGCGCGACCAAGGATGCAATCTGGACACTATCTTTTGACGGCTCGTCAACAGTCCGAGGAGGAGGCGCCGGAGTAGTACTAACACAGAGAAAGGAGAGGCTCAAAATTTCTCATATAAGCTAAAATTTGGGTGCTCCAACAATACGACAAAATATGAGGCCTTAGTCCTGGGGTTATTGGCAGTCTGGGAAGCGAGGGTTAGACGTCTACATGTGCAGGGGGATTCCAATCTAGTGGTGAAGCAGCTCGACGGTTCGTACGCCATCAAGGAGCTGTCGTTGGCAACTTACAGGACCGTCACACAGAAACTCAGCAGCCACTTTGATGAATTACATATAACGCAT